CTACTACTACTACTACAATTACTACTACTACTACTATTACTATTACTACTACTACTACTACTACTATTACTATTACTATTACTATTAATACTACTGCTACTGCTACTGCTACTGCTACTACTACTACTACTATTGCTGCTGCTACTACTACTACTATTTCTACTACTACTATTTCTACTACTACTACTACTACTACTACTAGTACTACTACTAGTACTACTACTACTACTAACTACTACTATTGCTACTACTATTGCTGCTGCTACTGCTACTACTACTACTGCTACTACTACTACTACGACTACTGCGACTACGACTACGGCTACGACGACGACGACGACTACTACTGCTACTGCTACTGCTACTGCTACTACTACTACTACTACTACCACCAAATCTACAACTGCACTACATTACACTGCATTACACTAATTACATTGCAGCACACCGCAGCTACAAATATACATGCAACTACAACTACTACACTACATCACAGTACACTACACAACACTGCACAACACTACACTACACTCATTACATTACATTGCACTGCATCTACAACTGCAACTGCACTACAATTACAGCTACCACTACGTTGCACTACGCTACACTACACTAATTACAATACACTACAACTACAACTACACTACTTTACACTAGATTACACTACATTATATACACTAGATTACGCTACACTATACCACACTACAGTACACAACACTACAGTGCACTACAATACATTACAATAAACTACACTAATTACACCACAACTACAACGGCAACTTCAACTGCAACTACACAACACTAATTACATTACATTAGAACTACAACTTGCAACTACAACTCCACTACGCTACACTACAACTACAACTACAACTGCGCCACACCACACTACATCCAACAGTTGCGGTGAGGTGACCACTGCAACCATTGCAACCACTCCAAAAAAAAGCACAACTCCAACCACCTTTCGGTCCATCGGTGGATTCGCTCTGCCATCCGTGATTCACAACCACCAGTCTCTCCTATAGGCTTCCTACTTTTGAAACTTCCGCCACCGCCTTGTGCGGTACTACTGGTATATTTGTATTTGTAGTAGTAGTGCAGTGTAGTGTAGTGGTAGTGGTAGTTCTAGTTGTCTACCTATCTATCTATCTATCTGTCTGTCTGTCTGTCTGTCTGTCTGTCTATCTGCCTATCTGCAAGCTTGAAAACGAAGCTATTCTGCGAGACTTCCTTAGTGTTTGAACTTGACAACGCCAAAAACAAAGCAAATCCTGCGAGACTTCCTTAACTTTTGAACTTGACAACAAGTTTGCGAGACGTCTTCAATTTTTCAAGTTGGCAACATCAAAAACGAAGCAATTCTGCGAGACTTCCTTCAATAATGGAAAGTTGAGTACAGAGCTGACGGCCTGGTACCAATGCGTTTTGCGTTTTTTTTTGTCCATGCCTCTGAAGTACTGCGCCTGCCACGAAAAAGTGAAGCCAGGTCATACAAAGTGCTGCACCTGTCACGCAAAATTATCTTAGCAAACCTGAAGATCTCATGCTCCAAAATGCAACCCTTCTCAGAAAATCTCCGCCCTGATCTCCTAACACATCTACCTCATGTGTCCCTTGCATTGCGCCTGCCACGCGAAATGCATCTTGCCAGATCCTCTGCATGTGTCCCACGCTTGCCATCGTTTTTGAAACTGCTACAAAACCCTCCCGTTTTGCTCACTTTTGACAAGGTGCACAATCCCGTGCGCTTGCCACGGGAAACGACATCTGAACGTCCAAAAGTGCTCCGTACCCCTCAGTTTTTTGCATTTTTGACTTCGAAATGTGCTTCGCGCCACAACGGCGTGCACGTTTTCGACATGTCAATTTCCAAGAGTGGTCCAAGCATGGTGTGCTTTGTACATTTTGACTTCGAAATGTGCTTCGCGCCACAACGGCGTGCACTTTTTCGACATGTCAACTTCCAATTTGGTCCGAGCATGGTGTGCTTTGTGCATTTTGACTTGGAAACGTGCTTCGCGCCACAACGGTGTGCACTTTTTCAACAGCTCAATTTCCAAAAGTGCTCCGAACGTGACGTGCTCTAAACTTTTCACTTGCAACCGCGCTTCGTGCCACAACGGCGTGCAACTTTTCATCTCTCATCTGGCCAGATAGCTCCGCACCCGCCGCTTCAGCGAGCCTACTTTTCGACCCTCCGGGGCCACAAATCGTTAGAAAACACAGCGTTTCGCAGTTTTCCTTCCTTTTCGCACAGCTGGATCTTCTTTCTTCTGACTCCTTCTCTTCTTCTCTCTTCTTCTCTCTTCTTCTCTCTTTTTCTCTCTTCTTCTCTCTTCTTCTCTCTTCTTCTCTCTTCTTCTCTCTTCTTCTCTCTTCTTCTCTCTTCTTCTCTCTTCTTCTCTCTTCTTCTCTCTTCTTCTCTCTTCTTCTCTCTTCTTTTCTCTTCTTCTCTCTTCTTCTCTCTTCTTCTCTCTTCTTCTCTCTTCTTTTCTCTCTCTCTCTCTCTCTCCTTCTCTCTCTTCTTCTCTCTCTTCTTCTCTCTCTTCTTCTCTCTCTTCTTGTCTCTCTTCTTCTCTCTTCTTCCCTCTTCTTCTCTCTTCTTCTCTCTTCTTCTCTCTTCTTCTCTCTTCTTCTCTCTTCTTCTCTCGTCTTTTCTCTTCTTCTCTCTTCTCTCTTCTTCTCTGCTCTCCTCTGCTCTGCTCTTCTCTTCTCGTCTCTTCTCTTGTCTTCTCTTCTCTTCCCTTCTCTTCTCGTCTCGTCTCTTCTCTTCTCTTCTCGTCTCTTTTTTTCTCTTTTTTTCTCTTCTCGTCTCTTTTTTTCTCTTCTCGTCTCTTTTTTTCTCTTCTCGTCTCTTTTTTTCTCTTCTCGTCTCTTTTTTTCTCTTCTCTTCTCTTTTTTTCTCTTCCCTTCTCTTTTTTTCTCTTCTCTTCTCTTTTTTTCTCTTCTCTTCTCTTCTCTTCTCTTCTCTTCTCGTCTCTTCTCTTCTCTTCTCGTCTCTTCCCTTCTCTTCTCGTTTCGTCTCTTCTCTTCTCTTCTCTTCTCTTCTCTGACTCTTTCCAGCTCTGCTTTTCATCTGTCCTCATTTTCGGAAGTTTGACTTCTAAACTTCTTTCGATGATCCGGCAAGTTTTCCCAGTGCTCGGCATTGCAGCTTTCCTAGAATCTGCGGCCAGCCTGTTTTGCCAGTTGTTCCCAAAAAAAACTTCTTGCATCTTCTTGCACTCTAGCGCTTGGCTTAGGCTGCTACGCGAGAGCTCTCAGAGGAGGCAGCCATTGAATCAAAGTCAAGGATTACTAAAGGATACTATAGGTAGCTATTCTCAGTTACCCTCCCAATTTGAGTTGAAACCATTCAGTTGCTTTGGTTTGGCTCTTGGAATACTTTGGTTTGAAAGGAATCTTTTCTTCTTTGCACTTCCAAGAGAGTTTAGTTGATGCGTTGAACATATGTTGAACTTGCAGCGCTACAGGAGAATCCACTTTCACTCACGGCATCAGAGGCCAGGGCCTTCCATTCGACTTGAAAACAATGAAAAGTGCCATTGACGTTGAAACACTGCAGTGTGAAGAGCATGGTGTAAAACTGTCTAGATTAGCGTTGTAGAATACTCATCCTGTTCCAATTTAGAGTTGTGTAGGTTGTGTTCTTTGCTTGAGGACAGGCAACTTCGGTCTCGTCCAGGCAGGGTGCAATGGCTCTCAGCAGTTCCAGCTATGGCTCGGGACATGAACGAACTCACAACATGAACAAACTCGTTCATGCTGGGTTGCTGTTCCTGCTTTGTGTTTCGGGGCGTAATTTTTTTGCATTTCGCTGGAACTTTGTTTGAGTTTTCTGTGACTTGCGCACTTACTCCTGCACATTCAGCAGGTGCTAGTCGTTCAGTCATTGTTCGCTCCATGGCAACGCGAAGCACGGAAACCCAGCCATGAAACCCGATGGATAACTATCAAGTTTCACTATGTGAGGACCAAAATCATTCTCTTTAGTCACTTTAAATAAGGCAATAAGTTGCTACATACACACACACACAGAGAGACTTTGCATGCAATGTTTCCTGGATGTAGATGAATGTATACACAGCGACCCGCAGACTTGCTCACACACACAAATTCTTGCCCCAACAAAACATTGCCTTCGACTGATGTTGCCTATTGGCGATGCATGCTCAGTTTCGTGTTGGCTTTGCATTCTTTTCGTGAGGTGGCCCATTGAACGTGGCCAATGGGGCTCCTGTGACCACGCATGGGCCCCAACTTGTTGTGCGTTCTGGGGGTTTCTGAATCGTAAAATGCGTAAACCGAGGGCTTCTGTGGTTCACTTGTTTGCAAAAGATTTTTACATCTTACTTTTTACACCGGCTTCTCATGATGTTTGTTTCATCTTCTTTCCAAGCAATGCTCAATCTTGTTGAAGCATGTTGAAACTCTGGCTTTTGAAACGCCCTGTACCGTGGGTTCATCCCAGGTACAAGTCTATGGCGGTGCCACAAACCATGCAGGTGGGAAGCCGGTTTTGCATGCTGCGAAGAAGGTTGTAAACAGAATGGGCACCGGCTTCAAATTGCAGTCATAGTCTTTTTGGTCCAACCCAAGCGTGAAAGCTGTCTCGAAAAGATGAAGCAAACGGACAAAATGCGGCTGCAAATGCTACACTTATGTAGATTGCAGATCATTGCAGTTGGTACGGCTTGGCCATGCGGTTTGGCTATCACTCTTGACTCAAGCATCGCACGCCTCGAAGAGTCGCAGACACAAAAGAAACATTCGAATAAGATCAAACTGATCAAACTGATCAAACTGATCAAACAAGTGCTTCCAGCATCTTCCGGCATCTTCCGGCATCTTCCGGCATCTTCCGAGCGAACTCCCGTGGTGATTCCTGGCTGCTTGGACTCTTTCGACTCAGCCAGAGCCCCAGTTTTCAGAGGCCCGGTTTGTGCATTCGAATAGTGACGCATTGGCGCTGTTATGCGCTGTTTGAGTGTTTCAAGAGTATCAGCTGTGCAAGGAAGATCCCATGGCATCGATTGCAGTTGTTTTCGAGCCGGCGTCTTAGCATGTTTGATGTGCTGGACTGCAAGCTTAGCGTGCTTTTTGTCCAAGGCACGTTTGCAGCCAGAGCAGTCCAACTATGTAATTATCAAATTATTGTTTATATGATGATATATGTTGTATGTCCATTTCAAATTTGTTGAATGTTCATGGCATTTGGTAGCACAGTAGTACATATGTCTATCATTTGCACTTTGATTGCACGTGCCAAAATTTCAGGCTTGAGCATGCTGAGACAAAGATGGGTCAGGCAGTTGCTGTTGCGAGCGCCTCAGACCCTCTGACTGTTCGACTGTTGTTGCCCAGAAGGCTTCGCTTTGACAAAAGTGATTAGTTTCTTGTGGAAGCCAGATACTGTCTGAAATAAACAAAATAAATTCAGCGCATATCTCTTCATGTTTCTTTTCACTGGTCAATCTCTTCTGTACGGACGGTGTTTCTTTTGGTAATTCGGGACGCATTAGCTGTGAAGTGATTTCTCTTTCAGGTTGGTCGCCACACTGAAATGGGAAACTGGAAACCAGGACTTTTGCTGGAGGTGATGAAGTGATAGCAACGAGTGTGGAAAGTTGCTTTCATGTCCACGTTGGAGAATGCTTTTCCCACTCATTTAAATGTTCCGATCAGTACAATAAAGCCATCTTTACACAGGTGGCACACCCAGTGGGGAGACCATGAAACGAGATGACGTAACACTCACTACATGTGTATTATATGACCAACTATGGCGACGTGTCATCCAGGTCGGTCATTGTGGAGGTGCTAAGAGTCTTCGTTCGCACAAGCCTTTGAGAATGTCCTTGGGACCCTCTTATGTCTGTGTAAAGCAGTAACATGGTATATCTTGGATCCAGGGGTTCCTAAAGACACACACACCCACACAGACTCACAGATAGAGACCAACAACTCACATAGACAAACACACGCACACACAGAAACACATGCATGCGTGAGAAATGTGATGTAATGCGACGTAATGAATGTGATGTAATGTGTGAATGTGATGTAATGTAATCAAATGTGCCGTATAGTATGGTATGGTACTGTACTGGACTGAAACATCTTATGTTGGCACTCCTGGCGAACAAATGTTTACTTATTTGGCGGTCTTTCTCGGTCTCTATGCACACCCTCACTATGTTCTTCATGTTATGCAAACAAATTTGCAAAATGCAAAGGATTAGCAAACAAATGTCTACCCATGTGGAAAAACATTAGGAAAGCACCAGACATGCGTCAGATTAACATGTATCATTTGGTTGTGGTGATTCAAGACGCTATAGAATGTATTGTGTATTACATGATATGTATATATTATACAGTTACTCCGGACAGCTCCTGCGACTGCCCCTTTTGTGCTCCCTTCTACGGTTTGGAGTCCAACCCTAACTCCCTATCTACCCCTCTTCCTCCCCTTCCCTGCAAAATATCTGGGATCTTTCATCACCTCCAATTCCTCCTCTAACTCTGATGTCTCCTTCCGTTGCTCTCAGGCTTCGCATGCGTCGCATGCTTTCAAATGTCTTGATATGTCTTGATCCTTTCTTCCGTCACACTCTTATCTCTCGGAAACTTCAAGTCTCCCAAATTATCCAGTCTATTCTCCTCCATGGCTCAGAGTCCCAAGATGTCCCAAGTCTACTCACCAGCTCAAATCACTCTTTTTGATTCCCTCCATTAGACCCTTCGACAAATCTTTCAGATTAAAAGTCCCTACTATCACAGAGTTCTCAATCCCTCTGATGCTCCTTGCAAAAATGAATTTCTATCACTTGCCTACCCTGTCCTTCCCACCCTTTATCCTCCTTCCATGAAAATTTCTGACCGTAGAATTCAGTATCTCGGTCACATACTTAGACATCCCGATAGTCCCGAGTCACTTATTTGCTTTAACCCCTCTAGGACCCTACGCACCATTAGTTCCCCTTTTCGGAGAGGCGCCCCCAGGGCTGGCCTAAACTCTGGCTGAAGCCCACAATAAACTCCGACTATACCGAACTTCACCTCCTAACCCGGGTGCATTTCTCCACCTTCTATACCCATTTTACCATAGTGGAATTAAAATGAATTAAAATCCTTTTCTTCTACTAATATGATCAACTGGTACAACACTACTCAACAATTACATGCTCTTCTTCCGGTGGCTGAAGATAGAGAACTGTGGAAACACCTTTCCCCAAAAATGAAATAAGAGCCAGCTAAGTAAACTCACCCTCTAGAGTTGCTGCTGCTGACATGTAGCCCAACAGCGGGCCGCATATCGCTTGGTAAAAAAATGTATATATTATAGATGGATTGTTACCTGTATAGTTTATTATAGTTCCACATGTGTGTGCAAGCGCTGCATGGACACGTACGACCACAATACACGAAGAGAGAGAGAGATATATATATACATATGGTGTGCGTGTTCTCTTTGTCACAAACCAGTGCTGACACGAGAATGCTAGATATGGAGGACACCGACTTTCCACCACTCCGTTGGGATACCCAAGGCGCGGTCTTGTATGCACTCCAATACGTTCGAAAGCGCTGTTGGACATTGGAAGACACAATCGTGCCAGTTACTCTGCTCTTGATATCAACAGTAGGTTGAGATGAATTGAAAGCAGCGCAGGTGGATCATGGCTGCTCCTTTATGGATAGGATCCAATGGGACCGTGAAGTTGGAGCATGGTGCTTATGAAATCTTATGAATCTATACTGGCAAAATGCAAGTGTACAGCAGTGTACATGTAAAACAGTCGAGATGATCAATGTCAGACAAAGCAAAACACGTCAGGAAAACGTCTGTTTTCATCAATAACGTTTCAGTCTGGTTCGTGAAGCTTTGCTTGGCATTGCCGCTAGAAAGTCCCAAGGTACAAATATGTGAGGATGTATTCGACTGAATGTCCTGACTGGGAGGACCACTTTGATTTCGTTTTCCTCGCCAGTTGCGCATTTTCTATCAACTCTTGGCGATGTGTCAAGATGCGAAGAACATGTGCATGGTTGGCAAGTTGTCTGTCCTTGAAACACGGACCGTTTCTTCCTTGACTCGGAAGACCCATGTAAATTTGCAGGCGGGAAAGAACCGAGAGCTTGTCCTGAACCCAGTCAAAACATGCAACTGGCAGTTGAACGCATCCAAAACGGGTTCGGATGGATCGGTTTTCACAAGGAGCTTGGTCCTGTGCCCGCTGGCAGCCACGTCTGGGTTATCAGGGACAGGAAGTTTGGGCCTCGGTTCCGGGCGCACCAAGAGTGGCACTTTTGGCACGCGATTTCCAAACTTGGAACAGTGAAGCAGACCGAGCACAATTACATCGAGATAATTCAACACAGGTTGCAACATGTTGCAACAACCAGATGTCTAGATTGTTTCGATTTGTGTCGTTTTTGCATTTTGAAAGGACCCAAATGACCCGAATCTCTCCGCCTTACTCTCTTCCTGTTCACCTTCCTTGCCTCTCTTCTTTCCTTGGTCCTTCTCTGTCCCTTATCATGTCCAAACAAGTGACATCCTGCAACGTTGCATGTTGATATGTGGATTTCAAGAACGTGACTTCGCCTTCGTTCAAGATGTCATGCATTTGTATGAGCACCACATTGCTAGGGTTGGAGGTTCCGTCTGCTTTGCTATCTGCAAATCTTGCACTTGGCACGCCGACTGTGCTTGAGCTGTTGTTCCAACCGCGTGGAAGCTTCAAATTGACCCTACGTACATTATTCCTGCAAGAATCTTGTCCAAAAACAGCAGCATATTGGGACGTCTGTTGCGCATCAAGCACCCCAGTCGTGGTGGATTCCCTTCGCAAGTCTTCTGAGATCGGCTTTGCTTGAGGTGGGGAGCAACAGATTTGCTACCGAATGCCAGCGGCTCGGGTTTTGGTATCAAAAGAATCTAACACATCGAGCAAGGGCAGGTTGTCAGGAGGGCAACTATGAAAGTCAGATTTGAAGCCAACCCTTTGAACAGTGAGGAATTTTAGAAAAAGTGCCATTGCCACATATTGCCACAGCTCTTCGTGGCTACAGCTTGATCAGATTGTCCCGTGCTCCCTGGAAGAGCTTATTTCCAGCCGGAATGAGGCCCTGCAAATTCACCACATGCGTCACGACGTCCCATGTGAAATTCACACAGCTTGACAAAAGGAGCTCAACCGCCCTTGTTCGATGTTGTTTGGAACTGTTGCTATGTTGTGATGTTTGCACCTGAAGGTTGATCCCAAATGGTGCCCCAAGGCCAGGTGCCAAGCTCCAGGGCTTCACTGAGTGCTGATGCTGCTACTGATCTATTGCCACACTGGAAACACATCCGGTTTGACCAGGTGAGAGATCGTCCTCTGATACCAAAGCTTCAGCTGCCAACGCCTGTTCTTGACTTAGATTTTGAATCAAAGACCAGTAGTAAAATGCAATAAATAGATATAAATAGCAATGAACACCTTTATCCTGCATTCTTCTAGTTTCAGATTTCATGTTTGGAAACAAAGCATTTCACAGAAGTTTCTGAGGACATGCGCCACTACCGGAAGGGTACCGAGGTGTCTGGCAAACAAAGTTTGCAGATGCTGAAGAGCTGGAGCAACATCAAAACCAGACGGACCAACATCCAAAAACCGCATCCGTGTGTTGAGTTTCTGTAGGCCAAGCCAGGCTCCGCACAGCCGAGTCAAGGCTCAACAAAGATCAGAGTGAGAATCAGAGAGTTTCAATCTGCTTCCATAAAATGCTCCTAAAAGATCCCAAAAACATTCAAAAGCAAGAGTCAAACAGAACACTTTGTGAAGGCAGCATAGACAGCACAGCTTCCAGCGAGTTCGGTGAGGTGAGTGAGGACGGGGAAAAACTGGAAATAGTTGGAACAACAGAGTTTCCAAACAGTTTCTCACATGACAAAAAGTCTCCCCTTTGTTCTCTCAAATATTGCGTTCCACAATTCATGGATTTATTGACTTTCGTTGATCGTTCCTGTGGGTGGGTTGAAAACAAACTTGTGTCCTGGATAGTTTGTTTTCCCAAGCTTCATCACAGTCGCGGACGTGATGAGATAGTTTGACCATGTTTGACCATGTTTGACCCATTTTCCGGTGCAATTTCAGTCACAGGACAGCTGCGAATCATCGCCAGACAAAATTTCCAGGCCCACGTTCAAAAAGTCTAAAAAGTCTAAAAAGTCTAAAAAGTTTAAAAAGTCTAAAAGTCTAAATCTGTGAATGGCTTAAGTTACTTAAGTTGATTTCTGTGCATTTTCTGCTTAGGGTCACCGGTTCTGGGTTTCGCCGATCACCTAAGCTTTTCATGTAGGTGCAACCCTCTCAGTCTTTGCTATTGTAAGATGTAAGTGGTATCGATTAACCTTCTGCATCGATATACTAATTTTGTAGCATGCACGGTGAAATCTTGAGATTGTATTTATAATTATTTATCTATTTACAGTTTCAATATGTGATATGAGTGATAGTGATACTGTTACCTCACTATGTATGTACATCTGTCCGATGAGGTGTCGACGTGAAGTCGCAGCTTGCACGCTGCAGCAGCTAGAGGCTGAAAAACTCGCGCAGCTAGCATTAGCCAGCATTTGCACTTGGAGTGATTTGTTTATATACCAACTTACATTTTACATCATTTTACATAATCTTGCATGGTTCTTCCATGTCAGTGGTCATTACTGTTTCCCTTTTCCAAAATTTGTGTGATGCAGGCTGCATTTGCCCACACTGACGAGGTGGGCAAACTTCAATGTGCTCAAAGCAGTCTGAGGGGCAGAATCTGCCACTAGAATCTTGCTGTTGCATGCTGTTGCACTATTTTACACTTGTAACATGTTGTAACATCTTGTGAATCACTTATTATCTACTATAACTATCTATAACCTACATAATCTTATAACGTCGTGTGACATCTTGTAGTCTTCAGGTCGAGCTCGAAAGTTTGCGCCGCGAAAACGCCGCGCTTCGGGCAGTGCTGCGATGCCTTGCTGCTGGGGATCTCGAGGCGCCCTCAATCTTCGCTTTTGGAGCCCAACATACAGAGTTTGATACATCTAGGACATTCTAGGACATAATTTATATTTATCTATCATATAATCACAAACCATAACAATAACATATAATTCACCATCTGTAACCAATGTAATGAATGTAACGGCATGACTCTGTGACATCTCTGCTTGTCACCCGCATGGCATGCATTGCTGCGTGCTCCTTTGATGTGTGTGTTTTGATCCTTGGTCTCTGTAGCAAGGTGGCCGACCAAAGGACCAAGTTCGTGCCTCAACGAAACAACAGTGACAAACGAGAACCTCAAATAGCCCCAAAAAGCCCCTGCTTCTGTGAAGTAATCTTGGAGTATTTCCATCTGATCTTTGCGCCCGTTTTGAGTGTTTGAGTCGAGTTGTCATCGGATTCGGCGCTTGAAGCGCAAGAAAGTGGATACCTTGAGGGAGCGTCACGTCATCGTGCGCACAGCATCGCTGCTGCCAGAAGAGGCAACGATGCGACGATGCCTTGTGAATGAGATCAAATGAGATCAAATGAGATCAAATGAGATCATTTGGAGGTCTGGTCTTTTGCCTTTGCATCACCTGAGTTTGCTTCAACGCCACCCTGTCCCTATGCAGAGGTGCGCTCCTCCGAAAACTTGGTTGGAATTGGATAGGAATGGTTCATTGCGTGCTGGGTAGTCCTGTGTATATAAAACGATGTTCATAAAAGATTGAAGGTGCAGTAATGTTCAAGATGAAAGAACTGTGATCACCACGATGACAGCCATACATAAAGAAACAGTAATGATGTGTAACAAATCATGACAATCTGATGATGATCTGATTATCTGATCAAAACAAAACCTAACTGCCGCCAGCCCCACCAGGGACTGGAGGCATTGCGGGCATGGCGCCAGCGCAACGAAGAGCTGTGTTGCGCGCAGACAACTGAGGAGGCCGATTGGAAAAAAAGTCGGGCAAACGGATCACACGGTTCTGGCACTTTGCAAAAAGGTTCTCGTCCCATCTGCCCACTTTTGGAACTCTGATGGGGATTTCTACCTGACTTTTGCATGGTGCTTTGTCAAGGATTGCCCCTTTACCATCTTTCACCTGTTCTTTGCACACTGTTCTTTCACGCACATGGAAGGGCTTCCATTGGGATTGGCCACTGTCTCGCTGTGAGCGGAAGCAACGCCTGCTGCTGGCAGAGAATCGCCTGCAGGCGAGATGGCGAGATGAAGAAGCTGATTGTGTGTTGTTTGATTTCGGATTGACATGGATTTAACATGATTTAACAATACGTAACATATATCGGTACCATGGTTTGCTGCTCTTTACCTCCGCCCTTCTAGGCAATCGAAGGCCAAGAGCTTCTGGAAGAGATAGTCCAGGAGCGGCAATGCCAAGCATAGACAGGAAAGATACGGGAAGGTCAGGAGTGACAGACGATGTCAGATCTCAATCCTCAGATTGAACGGCAACTCCAAAATACTCCAAAGGGGAGGTCTTGAAAGTTCTGTAAAGGACAGACATGGGAAAGCAAATGCTGTGTTTTGATAGCCCTATTGCTGGTCCGCTTTTTCACATTCGTCCTTCGTCAAGAACCAGAAGAGCTAGCAGTGAAAACCACTATGATTTCTACATGTAAAAAGCATCAGCTACATGCCAAAACATGCCAAAACGGATCACCAAGGAGAATGCAGCTGAGCGTCAGGAACTGGCAGAGATCATGAAGGCGGGCTTGAAGGAAACCCCATTGACGACATTTGACCATATCGTGAATGCCATTCTGGATTCCGTCAGGGATGATTCTTACCAAAGACAATAGCACAACCATGTTACTATGTAATTGTAAGTACGACACACATAATAATTACATTATATTATAATATATATATATACAGCATATATAAAGTAATAATTCACCCCGCTTCGCGTGGGGTGGCCGCCCACACCGCAGGTTTATTTCGGTCCGTGAGAGGGGCTAAGGGTGGTTTTCCCCCGTGGGGGCTCCCCAAGCTAAGAATTTTAACTTCCCCCCCCGTGGGGGCTCCCCAAGCTAGGGAATTTTCACTTTTCCCCCCCGTGGGGTCTCCCCAAGCTAGGGAATTTTCACTTTTCCCCCCCCGTGGGGGCTCCCCAAGCTAGGGAATTTTCACTTTCCCCGCCGTGGGGGCTCCCCAAGCTAGGGAATTTTCAGTTTTCCTCCCCGTGGGGGCTCCCCAAGCTCACTTTTCCCCCCCATGGGGGCTCCCCAAGCTAGGGAATTTTCACTTTTCCCCCCGTGGGGGCTTCCCAAGCTAGGGAATTTTCACTTTTCCCCGCCGTGACAGCTTCCCAAGCTATGGAATTTTCACTTTTCCCTCCCTTGGAGGCTCTCCAAGCCGCGGAATTTCAAATAGCTAGACAACGACGCCTAGATAGTCCCCCAAATCCCGTGTTCTTTGAATGGGTTTCCGTGTTTTTGCAATGGTTTCCTTCAAAGCACGGTACTTTACACTTTTGTCGCCATAAAACCGGTCGAAAACATCATGTTCGACAATGCTTCCAATTCCCTTATCTCCCCAACCGTTGAAAATACCGCTATTTACAGTGTTTTCTTCAATTTGTCCATGTTCCAATGCCGGTAGCCAACTCCAACATATATATATATATATATAAGAAATCCTTCCAAAACATTGTTTTTGACAGTGTTTTTCCAATGTTTCCAGTCAAACAGACGGTAATTTACACGTTTTTTGCCATAAAGGCAGTAAATCCTTCCAAAACATTGCTTTTGACAGTGTTTTTGTAATGTTTCCAGTCAAGCATACGGTAATTTACACGTTTTTTGCTATAACGTCAGTCCAAAACACTTGTTTTTGCAGTGTTTTCAATGCTCTGGCATCCAAAAACCCTGCAAAATCTTGCTATGTACAATGTTTTTTTCATTTTTGGCCGTTTTTCCATTGCCGGAAAGCTACCAAAATGACCCAAAATTCCATTTCAATACCCTCTTGCGCTCAGACACCCAAAAATCCTCGAAAAATGTCGAAAACACCACCGTATTCTGGTCTCGGTGCGAAACCGTTTTTGGCCCCCCCCCCAGCTAAAGCTGATATAGCGACTGCTATATTAACAAATGTCATTGAGCATTTAGTGTTGCTGTTTTGCCCCCCAATAAGCACGCCTTCACCGCCAAAGCGGTGTGGGCGGATTACTAGGCAAGAAATCTGCCCCATAATCGCGACAGTGCGAGTCCAACGCTGACAGGTGTTGGAGAAGCAAGCGGCGAAGAATCGCAAAGGCCATGAGACCTCAGGAGACGGAGACCTGTGGTTTTTGATTCAAGACTTTTCTGCCAGGCTTGGCTGACAAGGAGAACTTCATGGCAACTTGGAGAGAAAACACATTGTGAAGTTCGATGAAATTCGAAAATACTATCATGATACCATCTGAATAGATCTGAAAATCATCTCTGTGAACCTTGATGCTAGGTTGACCACGAACAACCTCCACTCAGAAAATTTCCATACCCTGTTATTGGCTGAGTCCGGTAAAATTGCTTGATTTTGGGCCGAACCATCAGCTTAACCAAGTCCTCACGGCGTGTTTTTGCCTGGCAGGGGTTAGCCAGGTTCGCAGTAACAGCAGACCGGTGGAGAGCATGTGACTCTGGGAAAACAGAGGACAGAAATGCATCCTGACCATTCCGATATCCTAGATTCCGTCAACCATACGTGCTCATTTCTTGGGAAACGACATGTTACTTTCGGCAAAAATTCGCCAACTCCCCTGTTAATCGCAGGACCTGGGGCACAGGATCCTGCCACTAGCTGCCAGATGATCGATGTTATTATACGTATGTATATATATATATATATATGTGTGTGTATATATATATATATGTATGATAGCCTCGGAGGGATGCAGATAGCATGAATCTTTTGCCACAACAGAGCGTCACTTATTGCATTTGTAAGGTTCACCGCGCAATCGTCTTCAACATGCAGTCCCACATTCGCCAGCTACTTCGCATAACTTTCGCATAACTTTAGCGACAATCACCCTGTAGTTCATATGCGTGCATAAAGATGATTCCTGAAGATCATGAAACATATTTTGGAAATCTCTCAATAATAAACATGTTACATTTGTGAACTCGAAAGTAGAACCATAATAACATAATATGAACGGGGATCACAATCAGAACATGTTGGAAGGAACGTCAGGTCAGTACTTCAAAAGTGGCAACACGTGTGTCAATGCGCTGCGTGTTCGACGTGCAGCATACACCTGGAATGCAGTCAACGTTTCACAGATCCTGTTCAAGCATAACATGTGAATTATTGAGCGCAGAAATGTTTCAGATGGCCCGCGCTGTGGACAACAAACGACAACAAACGTGCGCTGTTCTTCTCTTGCTATCTCTATACTCCCTGCTACCGCACTGCTACCCTTGCACCATATCCTTGCTGTATCACCCAACTTTCGATTCCCCGTCACCCTTTCCTGTCAAGTCAACTTCGCAGTCCGATCGGCCTGCTTGTCAACTGGACTGGAGCCTTGGCGGGTATTCGCAGTTTTAGTAGCCATTCTGCTCTTGCCCAACAATTCTTTCTGTCATTTCTGTGTTACTTGTTTGGCGTCCCCTGATACATTTTGATTATTGAATTCAACTGATCAAGAGATCAAAATAAAATCATACTCTGTTGTAGTCCTTCTGGGCTGCCTGCAGAAGCTGTCAGCTGTACGGTTCTCGAGAGTATGGACATGCGCGAATCTATTCCGGACCTTAATCTGTTTTTAGAGTCATGAAGCAAAAGCAAGCAAACAGAGGTTTGCCGCATGTTCCCCATGATCTGCCACTCAAGACAAGCACAGCTCTCTTGAGGCAAAGCGAGGCGGCAGCTAAATCTTTTGCTCCAGCGGCAGAAGCTTTTAGCGCTAAAAGAAACACAGATCGCTTGTAGTTACAATTCCAATTGCTTTGCCTTGGTGAACTTCCTTTTAAATCCTTTTGAGTATGATCAAGTGCCATATAAGTGGTTCCTCGTACAGTGACATGCTGTTGATGCCACGTTCCAGCATGGCTGAATTCCATGGTCAACGGACATGGTCAATGCTTTGAGAGTCGATTGTTAAAATGATGAGAAAAAAAGGTCCGGAGACTGTGGTGACAAATGCTTTGCTCTCCTGCTAGCAATCGACTTCACTTCCAGGAACTTGATTAATTCAAGGGAGCTTTGCGAGGGTACAAGATTGACTGCGCAAATGTTAAACTATGCTAGGTTGGCGTGCCATGTCGTGCCGAAGATTCTGCACAGCTCCAAAAGCACGTTGTTTTTTTACATACAGCCTGACACACAGCTGTTGCTGGTGCGACTGCTGGGGTTGAGTGCTGATGAGATATGATGAAATTATGAAATGTTGTTGGGCTTTTGCAAGTCCCCTTCTGGCACTGAAGACGTAAAGGGAGGCACTCAGAAAGACGCACTCTTCATCACTCTTCCTTGTAATTTGCAAAGTCAATGCATTACCAATTTCTGCATTATCAATGAATTTGAACCCAGCGGAAACGTGGAAAAAGGACCTTTGCTTTGCTGACCCTATAGTTTGATGAACAACTTCATTCAGGAAAAGGATCATGTGATCGACGTGCTTTCCAAATCTTTGTGAGCATTGCAACGGCAAGTGAATCTGCCATCTTTCGTGTTGCAAGGCGGCGGATATTTCCCAAGTAGACATCACGACATCATGACCATGTGTCTGTTTGATTGAACATGTTAAAGTTTGCGACACTTCCAGCTGGAATTATCTGAGCCTGCCTGTCTCAGGGTGGGCGCCGGACTGGCAAGGCTCTGGTTTGCTTGAAACTTTGAGAATGGCCTACTACAATGTTACAACTGAGCAGTCATAAAGTGAAACATTTTGAGCTTTTTTGCCACATGAACAAGCAGGATGGTGAGCCATGAGTGAATTGCAGCGTGCAATTGGGCTGTTTCTTATCGCGTGCATTTCTGCTCCTGCAAATGTTGAGCAGGTCACGCACATTGGAACAACCACTACAATTGGGAACGTTTCAGTTTTCTCTCCTTCCTCAGTGCGGGCCCCAGTGTTCTGGTTTTGTGTCTACACGTTTCAAAGCTTTCACTTTCTCAAGGCTGCCACATAATGACTCCGAAGTTGAACACCAAAATATCCTTTCGATATTGAATTATTAGAAAATTATCAGGACCCAGTGGCGCCTGGCCTTCTGGTTGTAGTGGTCAAGTTTGAATTCATTTCTTAGCTTTGGCAGATCATTTCCCCTTGTTGTGCACTCAGGGAGTATATTGTGGCGACTGAAAAAGATTTGCAAAATTTTGCACATCTCTTCGAAACAACTTCGCCAATTTGAACCGTTTGCTGCGTGCCCTTTTTTCGACTTCAGGAAGCCGCACTTGGCCCAAGCCTCATTTTCAGGTTTGGCAAAAGCTGTGAGGCTGAGCGCCTGGATGGTTTGTGCTGTCAATTTTCATTTTTGCGTTGTTCTGATTGTTCTGCCTCGATTGGACACAAATTGGATGGGTTGCGTTCAGCGATCCAAAGCGGCGCTGAGGCACTCCTCTCCCATGCAGTGGTACAGCACTGCCCGTTGCCACACCTCCCTTCACGCAGGCAGAGACCATGACGGCGACCAACTTGGAGGTTTTGTTGGCCATCAAATGATGAACGAAATCAACATATGTACCGGTGTATATAATATATAATACACACACATACACACATTAATAGCATTGCATAAAATAGGCATGACATTCGATACATTCGTTATATTCCCCTGCAAATTCAGCGTGTAACATTGTGTGGCTCCCCGGGCTCTGCGGAAAGCAAACCATTGCTGTGAGGTAACAAATGTGATGACTCGAACTAGTGCCGCGAGCTCAAACGGTTTTGCTGAGATGCCAACGTCAAGCAAGGTCGCAATGTTTAAATTGTGCTCAAAGTGGCATCAATGCTACCGACATCTACCGACCATTTCAGACATGCGGTGTCAACTAGCGGTGCTGAGCTGAACTGAGATACCTGCAGCTCCTGTTGGCGCCACAGTATTTGTTTTGACAGTGGGACTGGACGTGATTGGACTATATTGGACTTGACCTATCCCTAAAATGTTTGAACTTTGAGTTTATGTTGATGTTCAGCACAGCAAGTTTTCTTGACTTTTGTTGATTTGATCAAAACCCACATATTGTTACTGTGTCTTCAGGTTGCATCTTTACAGCTACCTACAGCTGCAGGGCAGATGCCTCAGTGTGGTCGAGCTGTGAGAGAGAAAAACAATGACAAACAGAAGTTCAAAGAGGCTGAAGAGGTAGCACGATGCAACACGGAGGGGAGAAGACGACGGGGAAGAATATCGAGAGCTCGAGAGCAAGAGTTTTTTGCGTGATTTCTGGAACGTTCTGTGATGCACAGCTGATGCCGACCCAAGGCTTGTGCACGGACAGATTGGCATTCAAATCGGCACTGTCAGACGTATTCGCTAAGACATGTCAGAGGCCAAGAAATCCGCGACATTTATGTTGCATTCTGTTTATAGCTTACCGCATGTTCTTTTGAGAGATTTCTTCTTGTTTTGTTTTGGCATTTTTGCAATTTTCGGACATTTATCGTATATATCTGTCGATTAATTACACCGCTTTAAAACATGCTCTGCGCTGTCTCAGCTGTCAGGACTTGGCAGAAGCACTGCGGTTCTGACGGCCGACTTAATCGATTTTAGTCTTAGCCCTTTGGCTGAGCTCTGTAGCTGCGCCCGTTAGCGTGTGTAGCAACATGTAGCGACAGGTAGCAACTTTGCCAAACCCGAGGGAGACTGAACATCTCCAGACGAGGGGATAAAATGTAACGAATATGAAGCGTGGTTTCAAGAAAGCCCAAGAATCTTCAGCTTGGGACAAAAGCTCTCCAATGCTGTTCTACTTCTCATTGAAGCCTCGATTTGCCGCAAAGTTAAAATTCAGAAGACCTGCAATTCCAGCGTGGGCTCAGAGAAATCAGTGCAGTTTGCAAACCTCGACAGTTTGTGAGCAGACTTTTAACGGAGCTGTGAAGATTTGATGGCAAAGGTGGCCATTTCATGCCAATTCGCTGCTGTTCATTGTGACACGGAGCAGAAACTTTTACGTTCATTTACGTTCTCTTTTGGCAATGGGCAGTTCTTGAGAACGATTGACCAAAGGTGCCACATATTGATTTGCCATGCCATGTTAAACGATTTGATACGATTTGTCATCAATGTGTTGCCAGGTTAATCGACCATTCGGTCCACGCAAAAATCCGTTGGCAAAGTTACCCGCGGAAACTCGGCCTGAGGCAGGGTGCAGAAATCGTTCAGTTTCCAAACGAAACAGAAACAGCTTTCCCCTTGAAATACAGGGCTTACAATGGCTTACAATGCAAGTTTGAGACCTTCGCATGTTGCACGCCTTTTGATCAAAGCTCCTTTTGGATCAATGCTAGAGAAACATAATGTGCTATGGTGTTGCTCTAACTGTAAAACGATGATAAACGATGGTCTCCACAAAGTTTATACGATAGGTTTCGATTCACATCCTGTCCAGAGTCTGAAGAAAAATTGTGTGACAGTCTATGACAGTCTGAGTTTGCATGGTCTAACTGTCTAACTGTCTAACTAGTTGTTGTATGTTGTTGTATGTTGTTGTCTACTGACTCAAGTCGTAGGGTTTTCGCTTGCGAAGCGCGATGTGGTCCCGACCTTTGGCGCCACTGGCAGCTGCTGCTGCTCCGGTGCTTTTGAGTTTGCGGCCGGAAAGGGATGTCGTGAAGTGTCCTTTGGCAGATTCCGGCTTTGGCTCATCAAAGCACATTTATTAAAGGAACAGCACATGAGCTTGATGCTGCATTTTAAAAAGGAAACCTTCGCACAAACTTGTTGATTTGGCCACGTGTTACAGATCTTGCGCCTCATGATTCAAGATCATACAAGATGATACACGCCAGGTTCAGAATCTTTTAGAGTTTGGAGTTTGTGTGGGCTTTGACATCGCTGTTTGTTTTCGATACCAGCTGTGTTGCTGTGGAAGTTTGATAGAGGTCTTGTTTGGGTTTGATGGTTCTGTAGCTGCAGTTGAAGCGTTACGAAGCCTTGCCATCAGCATTTGGCAGAGGTTCCATATTTTCCCTGACATTTGAATATCTTGGAATTGTGCAAAGCTAGCAGCAACCTGCAAGAGGTTCTAAGCAGCATACATTGATGATGACCGATACTTCCGACATGGAAAAAGCATGAAAAAACATGACGAAACAAGATTGTTTGAACTGCGATTCCGCCCCACATAGAAAAGTTCAGACAGCATCGAGAATTTCAGAGTGCCAACTTCAAACGCTTAGCTGTTCTCGAAACGGACCATTCCAAGATATTCCAAGTACCCAAACAAGCAATCAAAACTCCGGTAGCTGAAGACCATAGACAGATTTTGACAGTACATGTTTTGTTTAAATTTGTTTAATGCATTCGACGATAGTTTGCTTTCAACTTGGAACCTGCCTGGAAGGGCATTTGAGGTGATGGATTTTGGTCGAGGGGCAAAGGCTGCCCAGTTGCAAAATTTCGAAGCTGTGTTGTCCCCCAAATCTATCCTTAGTTCCTTAGTTTTTGTTCCTGTGGAATCCTTAGAGTTCACTTCAGACATATTCAGACTATGTTCTCTTATCTGACAGGTCATGTGCTGTCTTTTCGGCCTGAGGACTTCAGGAAGCCTGTAGTGTCTTTAGATTAATTGAAAAAAATGATTTGCTATTTGATATTATATTTGTATACATCATTTTACAGTTATATATATATATATGTATATTACTGTATATTTATATATGTACACCCTGTCGAATCCAAATCTTTTTGCAACATCGAAACAGCGTCATTCAGGCTGTCCTACAGCTCGGCCCGTGAAGCCCGTGTCCCCCGTTCCTTCCGACATCGAGATTGCCCAATCAGTGACGCGGAAAGACATTGAACAATTTGAAAGATATCGCATGCTTCTTGAACTCCTTTAATTTCTTTCACTTCTTGAACTCCAAATTGTTTGTGTGTTCTGTCCCTTTGTCGTGCTTTCAATGGATCCGCAAGGTTTGAGATTTGGAACCGACACTTTGTAATATCGCTGAGGTGAAGCCTGTGCCTGTGAAAGAGGTTTTCAGAGGAGCTTTTAATTTGAAAGACGAAGAAACTTGAATTTCGCATTGGATGTTTCAGGCAGTTTCAGCCGTGTTCAAACGTCAAGAGTTTTGGGGTGCAGCACATTCCATACATGCGAGCAGAAAAGATCGTTGAAAGAACTAAGGACGTTTTTTCCTACGGGCCGTACAAGGGCAAAATCAACCTGAACATTTGGGAGAAACTGAAGGACAAGCCAAATGGCACCTTGACAACATCTTGGTGCAGCAATTTGCAAGAAAAAATCAGTGGGATCTGCATGGCGGCATGTCTAAGATCCAAGGACACTATGTCGTGGTTTGCGGAATCAACCCGACACCCTTGGGGGAGGGAAAATCTACCACGACTGTGGGGCTTTCACAAGCCTTGGGTGCATTCCTCGGGCAGAAGGCACGGAGCACATGGCTGGGCTGAAACAGATCAACAAACTCAACAACATCATGTAAACGTTTGAGCTTTTTAAAAACTTAATTAATCAATCTTAAACATGTTGCACAATGTTGCACAGAAGTTCTTTATTTAACCTGACTTCTTCTGTGTTTTCTATAGTTCGAGCCAAAGAATAGGCTCTGTGAGAGCGCAAGAGGCGGGAATGAATGATAAATGATAAAGTTCTGATAAAGCGTAATAAAGGGCTCGAATAAAGAGAGTAAAGCAAAAAGGACAGTCCGAGGCTTTACGAATTTCGGTCAAGTTGTTGACACCCCACTCAGTGTGTCACTCAGTGTGTCTTGTGTCACTCGTTTTGTCATATCGTGTCATGGCATGGTTTTGAGATGTTTTGAGTTTGCAGGTTTTGACGAACATCCGACAGCCATCCATGGGGCCAACTTTCGGCATCAAGGGAGGTGCTGCGGGTGGAGGCTATGCACAGTGTTTTCCAATGGAGGACTGGCTACAGCAGTGCAATGCAGTGCACTTAAAAGTCGAAAGAGCTCCTGGGAGATCTGAGAATTGACCGATGAAATGTGTTGATTCTAAGGGTGATGAAATGCTTTGAGCTGTCCTCTGGAATTGCGCCTGGAAAGAAAGAAAAGGAAACTGATCGCTAAGGGTTGAGGACTGTGTCGGTTCAGTTTCGTTCTTGAAGTGTTTGGATTTCCGGCAGGATTTCAATCTTCACATGACTGGAGATATACATGCCATCACCGCGGCTCACAATCTATTTGCAGCTGCCATTGACACACGATATTACCATGAGCATCTTGTCTGGTAAATAGTGAATGAAATGCCGATCTTGCGACATGGAGCGACGCACTGGTGCAAGAACAAAGATCATGTCTGGGAGCTCAGGAACAGCTCATCAGCGAAAGGCATTTGGAATAGGCTTTGTCCTGTTGACAAAAATGGCAAGCGAGAATTCGAGCCGACCATGTATGCTCGTTTGGAAAAACTTGGCCTTGGGCACAAGAAGCACAATCCAGATTTGCTCACAGAGGACACTTTTGAAGAAGACCGGGAGCTGGTGTTCCGTTTGTGGACTTGTTTCAGTATGTTGGAGTGATGTTTAGCATCTATCATTTTCTTGATTTTCTTGTCCGTTGTCATGCTTCAAATCTTCTTCCCAGGAGGAAATTGAAAAATTCTGCATCTTGGACATCGACCCAGACACCATCACCTGGAAACGAGTCACTGACTGCAGTTTCTTGGATTTCGAACAGAAGCATCGACTGACTTGGTCACGAAAGCCAGCCGCTAGGCTAGGCGAAGTTCTTTTTGCGAACAAAGTGAGTTAAGGGGGTCTGGGGGCAGAGCGGTCCTAACTGGCCAAAAATCGGGAAAATAGGTGGTAAAAAAGGTGGACGCAGGTAAATTTTTTTAGGGTTATGTACCAGGTGGCAATTGGGTGACGGTGGGGTATCGATTCCCCCCTGGTCCGCCCTCCGAGGTGGACTTGGGGAGATTGCAATGGAGGGGAAAATGATGAGAAAAACAATGGAAAAAATGAGGGAATAGGATATAAAACAATGGGAAAAAAATGGGAAAGGAGGGGAAAATGATGGAAAATGATGAGAAAAACAATGGAAACATGAGGGAATATGACATAAAACAATGGGAAAAAATTGGAAAGGAGGGGAAAATGATGAGAAAAACAATGGAAAAAATGAGAGACTATGATATAAAACAATGGAAAAAATAGGAAAGCAAGGGAAAATTTGAGTAGAACGCTAATTGATACGCGAGGAAAAACGGTGGAAAGAATAGGGAGAGGGTAAAATGATGCCAAGTAAAATTGAGGCTCCGATGTGGGACCATTATCGCGTAATGGAAAAGCAATGGAAAAATTGCAGTTTCGATATGAGGAGATGACACACATGTGATGTGCAGAAGTTCAGTTTTTGCCCAAATTTTGGGATAAACAATGCCATATGTCTGAAATTTGGGATAAACAATGAACAAATGAGGGAATATGACGTAAAACAATGGGAAAAGAATGGGAAAGCAATGGCAAATTTGAGTAGAACGCTTGGAAAATTGATTACAACGGTGGAAACAATGAGGAGACGGTAAAATGATGCCAAGTCACGTAAAGCACGCGTGAAACATTGGAAAAGCAATGGAAAAATGGCCGTTTTGATTAACACCATGTGATGTGCAGAAGTTCCATGATGGTACTTTTTAGCAAGATGGGCAGCATACCTTATTCGCTCAAGATGTAGTGCATTCTTATGGTCCTTTGCTGCCTCGCCGATTGACCTAACTTCAAATACTGATCATATTTTTGACCATCTATTATCACGAAAGCCAGCCGCCAGGCTAGGCGAAGTTATTTTTGCGAACAAAGTGAGTTAAGGGGGTCTGGGGGCAGAGCGCCCGAAGTGGGATAAAAATGCGGAAAATAGGTGGTAAAAAAGGTGGACGCAGGTAAATTTTTTTAGGGTTATGTACCAGGTGGCAATTGGGTGACGTTGGGGTATCGATTCCCCCCTGGTCCGCCCTCCGAGGTGGATCTGGGCGGGAAAATGATGTCGAGCAAAACTATGGAAAAGCACTGGAAAAAAATGAAGGTTTCTGGGTGAAGAGTCTCTGGGTGAAAAGTATATGGGTGAAAAGTATGTGCAAGAAGGGTTTCTGGGTGCAGAGTCTCTGGGTGAAAAGTATATGGGTGAAAAGTATGTGCAAGAAGAGTTTCTAGATGAAGAGTCTCTGGGTGAAAAGTATTCTCTGGGTAAAAAGTATATGGGTGAAAAGTATGTGCAAGAAGAGTTTCTGGGTGAAAAGTATGTGCAAGAAGAGTTTCTGGGTGAAGAATCTCTGGGTGAAAAGTATAAGTGTATGTGCAAGAAGAGTTTCTAGGTGAAGAGTCTCTGGGTGAAAAGATGTGAAAACTATATGGGTGAAAAGTATGTGCAAGAAGAGTTTCTGGGTGAAAGTATATGGGTGAAAAATATGTGCAAGAAAAGTTTCTAGGGGAAGAGTCTCTGGGTGAAAAGTATATTGGTGAAAAGTATGTGCAAGAAGAGTTTCTGGGTGAAGAGTCTCTGGGTGAAAAGTATATGGGTGAAAAGTATGTGCAAGAAGAGTCTCTGGGTGAAAAGTATATGGGTAAAAAGTATATGGGTGAAAAGTAAAATTGAGGCTCCGATGTGGGACCATTATATGTAAGAGTTTCTGGGTGAAGAGCCTCTAGGTGAAAAGTATATGGGTGAAAAGTTTGAGCAAGAAGAGTTTCTGGGTGAAGAGTCTCTGGGTGAAAAGTATATGGGTGAAATGTATGTGCAAGAAGAGTTTCTGGGTGAAGAGTCTCTGGGTGAAAAGTATTATGTTGCGGAAGAACCAGGAAAAAAAGAATAATGTAGGAGAAAAAGAGAAAAAGAGAAATGGACAGGGAAAAATAGAAGGTAAAAAAAGTGAAAAAAAAGTATGTGAAGAAACGTTCTGGGTGAAGTATATGGTGAAATATGTGCAAGACAAGTTTCTAGGTTGAGAGCTCTCTGGGTTAAAAGTATATGGGTGAAAAGTATGTGCAAGAAGAGTTTCTAGGTGAAGAGTCTCTGGGTGAAAAGTCTGTGCAAGAAGAGTTTCTGGGTGAAGAATCTCTGGGTGAAAAGTATATGGGTGAAATGTATTGAAGAGTCTCTGGGTGGAAAGTATGGTGGAAAATAGGGGTAGATGGGATGCTGGCAATGGAGGGGAAAATGATGAGAAAAACAATAGAAAAAATGAGGGAATATGACAGACAACAATGGGAAAAAATGGGAAAGGAGGGGAAAATGATGAGAACAACAATGGAAAAAAGGAGGGACTTTGACATATAACAATGGGAAAAAAATTGGAAAGCAATGGAAACGGTGGAAAGAATAGGGAGAGGGTAACATGATGCCAAGTAAAATTGAGGCTCCGATGTGGGACCATTATTGGTAAAGTTTACGGCGTAAAGCATGCGTGAAACAATGGAAAAGCAATGGAAAACTTGCTGTTTCGATGTGTGACCACTATGAAGAGTTTCTGGGTGAAGAGTCTCTAGGTGAAAAGTATATGGGTGAAAAGTTTGAGCAAGAAGAGTTTCTGGGTGAAGAGTCTCTGGGTGAAAAGTCTGTGCAAGAAGAGTTTCTGGGTGAAGAGTCTCTGGGTGAAAAGATGTGAACAGTATATTGGTGCAAAGTATGTGCAAGAAGAGTTTCTGGGTGAAGAGTCTCTGGGTGAAAAGTATATGGGTGAAAAGTAGGTGCAAGAAGAGTCTTTGGGTGAAAGTATATGGGTGAAAAATATGTGACAAGAAAAGTTCTAGGTGAAGGAGTCCTGCGGGGTGTAAAGCTATTGTGAAAGAAATCAAAAAAAATTGAATTATAGGCAAGAAGAGTTTCTGGGTGAAGAGTCTCTGGGTGAAAAGTATATGAGTGAAAAGTATGTGCAAGAAGAGTTTCTGGGTGAAGAGTCTCTGGGTGAAAAGTATATGGGTGAAAAGTATGTGCAAGAAGAGTCTCTGGGTGAAAAGTATATGGGTGAAAAGTATGTGCACGAAGAGTTTCTGGGTGAAGAGTCTCTGGGTGAAAAGTCTGTGCAAGAAGTGAAGAGTCTCTGGGTGAAAAGTATGGTGGAAAATAGGGGTAGATGGGATGCTGGCAATGGAGGGGAAAATGATGAGAAAAACAGTAGAAAAAATGAGGGAATATGACAGACAACAATGGGAAAAAAATGGGAAAGGAGGGAAAATGATGAGAACAACAATGGAAAAAAGGAGGGACTTTGACATAAAACAATGGAAAAAAAAATTGGAAAGCAATGGAAACGGTGGAAAGAATAGGGAGAGGGTAACATGATGCCAAGTAAAATTGAGGCTCCGATGTGGGACCATTATTGGTAAAGTTTACGGCGTAAAGCATGCGTGAAACAATGGAAAAGCAATGGAAAACTTGCTGTTTCGATGTGTGACCACTATGGAGTAGAAGCACAGAAAAAAAAACATGGAAGAAACGAGGAAAACCGTTTATACGGTGCAACTGTAGGGATTGTGGAAGGTGCATTTGGGTAAGCGTTAGACACCCAGCTGCCCCAAAAGTACCCAGCTCTGTCGACACAACAAAATACCCAGCTTGGAGTCTTTTTGTCGACATCCCTTGGCTTTTGGGACATGGGACAGCATGGGACCACTATAAAATGGAAAACTATCTCCATCCCACCCAAAAAAATACCCAGCTGCCCCAAAATACCCAGCTCCGTCGATACCAGTCTTTTTGTCGACATCCCTTGGCTTTTGGGACATGGGACAGCATGGGACCAATGGAAAACTACCAGAAAATAAGTCTTGGTCTTTGTGTCAGCATCCCTTGGCTTTGGGACGTGCCGGGCTAAAGAAAAATGTGGTGTCTTTGGGGCGATGATGGTGGGAGGATGTGGGAAGGCTGCGGCACTATAAAATGGAAACCCCCAACCCCAGAAAATCCTACCAGGAAGGGCATGTAATCTCTATAAAATGAGAGCACCCAACCCCTCAAAAAACCATTCATTTTTGGATGTTGTAAGATACAGGGGGTTGGGGGTTCCTATTCTATAGTAGAAAGTTGGCTAGTTCCTTCATTTTAAGGCTAGGCTCCAGGGTACGTTGGGGCCTCCCATTTTATAGTGATGGAGGGTTTTGCAGTAAATTTGTAGCTGTAAATATTTGCTTTTTCAAATAATTTTCTTATTTTATAGAGGTGCACCTGTTTTGTGACCTTGGGTGTTTCCATTTTATAGAGGTCCCACTCCGGGGGGGATGGGTGCCCCCGTTTTAGTACTATAAAATGGGGGCACCCAACCCCCCCACTTAATCTAGTAGGGGATGTGAAAAGTATATGGGTGAAAAGTATGTGCAAGAAGAGTTTCTGGGTGAAGAGTCTCTGGGTGAAAAGTATATGGGTGAAAAGTAGGTGCAAGAAGAGTCTTTGGGTGAAAGGATATGGGTGAAAAATATGTGCAAGAAAAGTTTCTAGGTGAAGAGTCTCTGGGTGAAAAGTATATTGGTGAAAAGTATGTGCAAGAAGAGTTTCTGGGTGAAGAGTCTCTGGGTGAAAAGTATATGGGTGAAAAGTATGTGCAAGAAGAGTTTCTGGGTGAAGAGTCTCTGGGTGAAAAGTCTGTGCAAGAAGAGTTTCTGGGTGAAGAGTCTCTGGGTGAAAAGTAAATGGGTGAAAAGTATGTGCAAGAAGAGTTTCTGGGTGAAGAGTCTCTGGGTGAAAAGTATGTGCAAGAAGAGTTTCTGGGTGAAGAGTCTCTGGGTGAAAAGATGTGAACAGTATATTGGTGAAAAGTATGTGCAAGAAGAGTTTCTGGGTGAAGAGTCTCTGGGTGAAAAGTATATGGGTGAAAAGTATGTGCAAGAAGAGTTTTGGGGTGAAAGTATATGGGTGAAAAATATGTGCAAGAAAAGTTTCTAGGTGAAGAGTCTCTGGGTGAAAAGTATATTGGTGAAAAGTATGTGCAAGAAGAGTTTCTGGGTGAAGAGTCTCTAGGTGAAAAGTATATGGGTGAAACGTATGTGCAAGAAGAGTCTCTGGGTGAAAAGTATATGGGTGAAAAGTATGTGCAAGAAGGGTTTCTGGGTGAAGAGTCTCTGGGTGAAAAGTATATGGGTGAAAAGTATGTGCAAGAAGAGTTTCTGGGTGAAGAGTTCTGGGTAAAAAGTATATGGGCGAAAAGTATGTGCAAGAAGAGTCTCTGGGTGAAAAGTCTGTGCAAGGAGAGTTTCTGGGTGAAGAGTCTCTGGGTGAAAAGTGTATGGGTGAAATGATGTGCAAGAAGAGTTTCTGGGTGAAGAGTCTCTGGGTGAAAAGTATATGGGTGAAACGTAGGTGCAAGAAGAGTATCTGGGTGAAAGTATATGGTGAAAAATATGTGCGAGAAAAGTTTCTAGGTGAAGAGTCTCTGGGTGAAAAGTATATGGGTGAAAAGTATGTGCAAGAAGAGTTTCTGGGTGAAGAGTCTCTGGGTGAAAAGTATATGGGTGAAAAATTTGTGCAGGAAGGGTTTCTGGGTGAAGAGTCTCTGGGTGACAAGTATATGGGTGAAAAGTATGTGCAAGAAGAGTTTCTGGGTGAAGAGTCTCTGGGTGAAAAGTATATGGGTGAAACGTATGTGCAAGAAGAGTTTCTGGGTGAAGAGTCTCTGGGTGAAAAGTATATGGGTGAAAAGTATGTGCAAGAAGAGTTTCTGGGTGAAGAGTCTCTGGGTGAAAAGTATATAAGTGAAAAGTATATGGGTGAAAAGTATGTGCACGAAGAGTTTCTGGTGAAGAGTCTCTGGGTGAAAAGTTGTGCAAGAGAGTTTCGGGTGAAGAATCTTGGGTGAAAGTAATGGGGACATGTATGTGCAAGAAGAGTTTATGGTGAAGAGTTTCTGGGTGAAGAGTCTCTGGGTGAAAAGTCTGTGCAAGAAGAGTTTCTGGGTGAAGAATCTCTGGGTGAAAAGTATATGGGCGAAAAGTATGTGCAAGAAAAAAAATGGGTGAAGAGTCTCTTTGTGAAAAGTATATGGGTGAAAAGTCTGTGCAAGAAGAGTTTCTGGGTGAAAAATCTCTGGGTGAAAAGTATATGGGTGAAATGTATTGAAGAGTCGCTGGGTGAAAAGTATGGTGGAAAATAGGGGTAGATGGGATGCTGGCTTTCGTTCCCCCCTTCTCAGGTTGCTTTTGTGCGTTGGGACAGGTGAGGGCTTTTTGGGGTCTTGTTCGGAACCCCGCTTGCAATGCTGTGTTCTTTTCTCAAGGTGACAAGTACTTGCGGAAGGTCGAGATTGGCCTCAGCCCTTCGGAATTTTCCAAGAAGAAGAATGAGCAAATGAAGCGAACTTCATCCTATGGAATCACGGTGAGCTCAGAGACTCGAACCTGATTGTTTATACATATTTATAATATTTATGTACCGATCATGTTGCATGATATATGATGATATATGTCTGATGATGTTCGATTATGTTTGTACTTACACTGTTTTGTTTCAAACTGTTCATCCGCAGAGTGCACCTGTTTATGAGAAGAGTTAGAGTAGAGTTGAACTTGTATAAGCATAGCTGTATGGTCACTGTATGCTTAGTATTGGTAACTTTTGGTAAGTTATAGTCATAAGCTTACATAACTATAGAGCATCTGAAGCGTTCTGTTGAGTTCAAGTGTGAAGTGTCCGTGTCCTGAGGAGATCATGGCCATCCTCGCTTTGGCCACAGATCTGAAAGACCTGCGAACACGACTTGGGAAGATGATCTGTTGCTATTCCAAGAAGGCCAGTGGCTGGCCACGTGGAAAATGCAACACAAAAAGCAGGGCATCTACAGAATCTACATGAATCATCATGAATCTACTATATACAACTCATATACACGTATGTAATTGTATATACATATACAAGTCATATACACTTGTAATCCCTCCCCAACACTGAAAGCTCAAGCAGCTAGGGGTCCTGAATTGCAAAAGTTTTGGATGCGGACGAGCCCCAGATCGGGTTTACGGGTCAAGGTCTAGGTTTCCAGCGAGACTCATAAGGTTCCCAAAGGTCCCAAATTTTCAAAAGATTAGAAGATTTTAGAAGATTTTAGATGATTGGATTAAGATTGGATTAAGATTGGATTAAGATTGATGTTGGAGTTCTCCAAGCTGTCAGGGAGAGCCCATCACTGCAGACGACTTTGGAATCACAGGCAATGACGGAATGACAGAGTCACAGCGTAGTCAGATCTTAGCATCTCTGAATCCCAGGTCTTAGGAAAAATAGGAAAAGGGAAACATGTTGAAACACCGGTTTGGAGTACTTAGTCTGAATCATTCAGCAGTGACCTCAAGTCTTGTGAGTTTTGCGACCAAGTTTGCGAATGCTTGACCGGGTCGTTGTCTCAGGTGCTTTGGCTGTTTTGATGATGGATGCTCTACCACCAAACACAATGCAGACTCTCGAGGGCACACCAGCTCTGGTGCACGAGACCTGGCTGAAGTTTGGTGCTGTGGTGAGGCTGAATTAAGAGCAGTTTTGCACTGAATATATATATATACTGAAAACATCTTTAAATGACTTAAAACATCTTGAAGCATCTTATAAAAACATTTAATATTGCAAGGGTTATAAAGGAGACAAGTATGACTGTGAAGCATGCAGCAGGTGCAGCAAGCATCATCGCGGCATGCGATGTGATTTGACCTTCGTGACCTTCAGTCTGCCTTTTTTGTCTTGTTTTCTTTTTGTTTTCTTTTTGTTTTCTTTTTGTTTTCTTTTTGTTTGGAGCTGCCATGCGTTCCGATTCCAGGCTGGACCTTTTGCAAACATCGCACATGGCAACTCCTCCATCATTTCAGCCACCTGGTCTTGGAGCTCTTGAGAAAAACGATGCATTTGGCACTTTACAGAGAAACGAAACAGTTCACAGTTTTCACAGTGGAAGTTGCAGGTGTTTTCATGTGTTGTTTTATTGTTTTCTTGTAAACTCCTTCGAAACATGAGAATTGCCTTTGCATTGCCTATGCTGACATTGTCAGGACCTGATCGGCTTGAAGCTGGTGGGCAAGGATGGCTATGTCTTAACGGAGGCAGGTTTTGGCTCCGACATGGGCGGGGAGAAGTTCTTCAACATCAAGTGCTACTACAGCCACTTGGTATGGCAGGAACTCTAGAGTAGACCATTTGGATCCATTTGGTACAATTCATGTGAATTTACTAAGTCAGTTTGGCATCTCTGGATATTTGATGATATTTGATGATGTTTGTGCTTGGCACCTGATTTCCTTTGTAGCTTAGGTGGATTGAAACCGGACTGCGCAGTTATCGTTTGCTCAGTGCGAGCATTAAAGCTTCACAGCTGCGAGGCATGGGTTGTGCGTGGATAATGTTGTTTCATATCTTGCACTACATGTCGACAGCATAGACAAGCATCAGAAAATAGAGTACTAAAGATTTGCTTAAAAGAGGCTAAAATATATTGTTAGCACTTTTTTGCTTGGTACGTCTTCTTGTTGAGGTTTTGACCTCAGAGGACTTTCAAGTCTTGAGAAAGCAAACTTCTTCACAGCGACCTTTCTTTGACGGCTTCCAAACATTGGCTTTTCAAGAGCCACCAAAAACTCATTGTTCAGGCACCAAAAATTGTTGCTGGCCAGACGCCTGCCAAAGAGTACCGCGAGGCGCGTGGGCAGACATTTTTTACCAGGCCATAGCCTGTGCAACTGTGCAATTCGTATCTAAATCTTATCTTTACGAGATTTTCCGTGATCTCGTTCGCATTTTGCTGTGCAGAGTTTGGTTTCCACCTTTGATGGATTCTGTGGGAAGTCCGCTGTCTGCCATTCCGTGTGCAAGGAGAACCTTCATTTGGTAGAAAAAGGCTGTGCCAACCTCATCGCTCACATCCAAAATGTGAGAAGACATGGAGTCAAGGCGTGTCACGTTGTGCCACACCGTGTCACATCGTTGAATCATGGAAAGTTGCTCTGAAGGTTGCTCTTGATCAAAACAGGCTGCTTGTTCTTCCCTTGTCTTCAGAACCAGTTTATTTCATGGTGTAGTTGTACAGGCTGTGGTTGCCATCAACCGGTTCGGCACTGACACTGAAGCTGAGATTGCTTTGGTCAAGAAGGCATGAAGGTAAACACTTCTAATGAAAAGCGAGGTGGTCAGCCAGAGGTCAGCGAACAGATACCATGACAGTGCCCAAACTCCTGATCTCCTTGGGCCGAAACAGTTTGATGCCGAAAGATTGCTGCACAGATCGCTGAAGAGAACGGCGCTTTCTCTGCTGTCGTCGCGGAGCGGGGTGGGATTCAGAGGTGTGAAAGACAATCACAATAACAAATTGGATTTGGAACTTGTGAGGCCCAGTGCGTTCTCTCATTGTCCCTCATATTTTATCATTTGTTATCACGAAAGCTAGCGTCAGCTAGCTGGAGTCTTCTTGCTTTAGCAAGTATTCCGGGGGCAGCTCAAGGACATCACGTGATTTTTCACGCGAAAGTGGGCCCCCCCTGCCCCCCCCCCCCAAACCCACCACCATCACCATCATCAGCATCATCGTCATCATCGTCATCATCGTCATCATCGTCATCGTAATCGTCATCGTCATCGGTTTCGTCATCATCACCATCATCATCATCATCGTCATTATCGGCATCAGGTTCGATCCTCCCCTGGCTGTATACCAGGATATGGAAGGCCTTGTTTTGGAAATAATCTGCTATGTGTATGCAGCGGTCTTCAGGACCTTGTGGGCACTTCTCCTAAAACATGGCCAGCTTTGTTTTGGAAAATGTGTATATATACTTGCCTTCTTATCCCTGGCCGATGTGTCTACCTTCTCCTTTTCTGTTGCAGCGTCTCAAAAGTTTCCAGGCAAACCTGGAAACTATTTCTGGCTGCTTTCCCGGTCATCCTCTTCCGCTGAGTGCAGCATCTGACTTGACTTCTTCTTCCTGTTATGGCCGTGCCTCGCCATGGAAAACGCACAGCGTGAAATCTCGCCATGACACCAAAGGGTTTGACGCGGAAACGCCACCGACATTTCCCTGCTGACACTGAAGATACGTCTTCCCTTCCTTCTTTCTCCTACCCCGCTAGCTTTCGTCATCCACCCACGGCCTCAAGTTTGTTGATCTTGCAAGGTAAATACTATAATTTATAACCGTTATATAAAATCATGAAATTATACATATAAAATGTCTCTTGTGTTCGTTATACTGGTACTTTGTATGTATCCTTCAAATGAAGGCAATCCCCTTCTGTTTGATGGATTGCTGTGACGCTGCTGTGACCGGGTCGTGGCGACTTTACCGCAAGCGATTGATCCACATTCAAGAAATTTGCTGTGACATCACCCTTCAACTGTATACGCATATTTCATGCTCGCATGTATAATTCCACATGGTTTTTCATTGTTCCTAGTACTTTTCAATAACGTGAACCGCTAGGAGCACCATGCCAAAGGTGGTGCCGGAGCAACCGCCTTGGGCGAGGCCGTCATGGCAGCGTGCAAGACCCCGTCTGAGTTCAACTTCTTGTACGATGCAAAGCTGCTCGCTGGAATCTGTCGGAACCAAAACGAAACTGACAATCGCATTTGATGGGGTTTTGTACGATTTATGTTACTATGTGTATATATATATATTATACACATACCTTCAATACGTTTTTACATTTTTTATATTGCTGAATCTTGCTCTGTGTTTGCCGTCTGCGAAACTGGCTTCTTGCTTTTGTCGATGCTCTCAGCCTATGTTAAAGCCAATTCTTTCCGGCTGTAGGAACGACAGCATCAAGACGAAGATATTGAAAGTGGTGCAGGAAGTTTACGGAGGAGCTGATGTGAAGTATTCAGACACTTGGTGACAGTATACTTGACATATGTTGAAACACCTAGATTTATATGTTGACCAATCTTGATACAGTATTGTAATAAGTATATGTAGATTATGCAGTGTCTGCAATCTGCAGAGCACATTGGAGATCAAAAGTTGGATTATATACTCGTCATCACTCCACTAATCATGATTTAGATACCCATTATAATTATAAGGAATCCCTAATGATGGTGGGATGACCAAAAACCACAAACATCCATGTACCATGTTTTGACCACGGCACATACAGTCAACGGTGTCAGCTTGCAGTTGTGTTAGCAGACTCTTAAACTCTTAGCCTTTTAGCCAATGATTGCAATTGTCATAGTTCCTAATGATGCTCAATTTAAATATCCTTGGCGGATTCCTTGACGATCGAGACGATCTGATGATATCTTCGCCGTTTTGACGAAGTTGTTCGATTTGCTTCCGTGACTTAAGGAGAAGGCTGAAGCAGTGCTGTCAAGATACCAATCGGATCCTGCCATTTGCTGCTTACCTATTTGCATGTCAAAAACGCAGTACTCACTCTCTGAATCTTGGACCTTGAATTTACAAAGGATCTTGGCTGAGAAAACCTTGGTCAAAGATGTTTGAACATGATTGGGCTGCATTGGCTGCATTGACTCTTGAGATATCCTAAGTGAATTGATCTGAAACGCTGCACTGTGCCACACTTGCACAAGACTAAGGATGATCCCAAGAAGCTAGGAGACCGTGATAGACCGTGATAGACTGTGATAGACCGTGATAGACCGAGATAGACCGAGAAACAGAGAAATACCATGAAACAGAGACACAATACCTGCATGAACCTGTGGAATTGCGGGAATGTGTGACTGTGCTGTGCTGATTTGAAGCTCGCATGCATTGTCCAGGAGCTCCAAAAGGCTTTACCATCACTGTGCAGGACATGTGCCCCATGGGAAAGGATGTTTGTTAAATGAATTAAGATGTTTACTACACTCAGGCGCTGTTCGATTTACACACAAATAAGAGTTCGAGCAGGAGCATTGCTTCTTATTTTCATCATTTCAGGTATGTCAGTGCTGGAGCGGGCTTCATTGTTGTTTTGCTTGGAGTCACTTCCTTGCACATCTTCATACTATTTATAAATCTATATTATACTGAGTGTCATACTGTATCATAGTGCAATATGTGTTTGAGAAACCAAAGATGCTTTTTGCTTAGTCTTTTCCGTCCAAGGACATCACCTTCATGCCTGGTCTTCCCATCAAGCCTGCATATTACAAGATCGACCTTGACTTCTCTCAGAAGCCTCCACGTGTCGTTGGTTTGTCGTGATTCGTCGAGTTCGAATCTCATCAATTTACATCTGAGGGACATCTTGAGGATGCTTTACATCTGAGGATCCCCTCAGAAGTGTGCAAATGTATATAGGAAATTTAGGCAGTTTTGAAACAGCATTAAGAAGCTGAGACTTTAAGACGCTCGGTTTTAGCAGTGGCATGCGCTTTTTTAACGCGCAGCCACGCCTGCGGCTCAAAGTCCTGCGGCTGAGATTGTCTCAACCAAGGATTTTCGGAGGCGTTAAAAGGCAAACCCTGTCCTCACATCGGCAAACCGCATACGTCACATACCCCGTTGGTCAAAGCGGAGTGAGCGGATTTGGCCTGAGCTACATGTGGCACTGTTGATAAACAAGAACAGAGATGGGTTCTTCCTCGTTCTTCCTCGTTCTTTTGTATTTGCCTTGTGTTGTGGGAGACTGCTTCAAAGAGCCCGTCCGCAGAGTGGATCAAAGTGCATTGAATCAGATAAACTCAGAGGATCCGTGAGAAGAACCCGTGGGAGTCACGGATGCTTGGCACATCTTTGGGCAAATCTTTGGGAGATGTTACTCATTGATATTCATTGTTATATTTGTTATTCTGATATTGCTGTGTGTCGTTTTGTGTCGGAAAGCGGAAAGGTCCCACGTCCCTTGCAGCACCAACTGAACTGCTGGGCTACGGTGGTCTTGGCCATGGGGCCATGGTCTCATGTCTTGACAAGGTCAAAAGCGGCAATGCTGCACTGCCGCAAGGTGTTGCCCGCAAGGACGCGCCCAAGGTTTGTTCGTCATGATGTGAACCATGCAAAAACCCATTGCAGGATGAATGGTGGTGCGTGTGGAATCAATTCGCAGGACGGCCAATGCTTTAAGACGGGCTGCAGCACCTTGTCCTCAGAGTTTCTTTCTTCCACTTAATCACAATGTGAGACACGCGGACTAGATTCGTCGATTTGTTGACATGATGTGAGAGGACAGCACCAAACGATTCTTTTTGGCACATGGCAGGCCTTTTCAACCTTGCCAAAAGATGGCCTGACGCTGGCAGACTTTATGCCAAGTGAGTTGCTGAGACGAATTTACTTTGTCACATGGCAGTTATGTGCACCTTCATTTGTATGTGGCACCAAGACCGTGGACTTACAGAACTGTAGACCAAGGTGCTCCAGCTGCTGCAAAGAGACCGCAACCAATGCGAAAACCGAAATGGTTCGATTCCCAGTTTTGTCAAGGGCTCTCACCTCTGAACCCCGCTCAGTCCCTTTGTGCAACGTGGAAAGATCATAAACTTGTCATAAACGATCCATTTTTTATCATTTTTTGGTGCAAAACATCTGGAAAGGTTGAAGATGGTGAATCCCAACTTGACACAGGAGGGCACTGAGCGGTGCGCCAGCAATATTGATTGGGTCATTTGCTTGGCATAAAGATCATAAAGGTATTTGATGGTATTTGTGTGTACTTGTACTATCTTTTACTTCGGCTTTCTTGTACTATCTTTTAGTTTGGTGGAAGGTACAAGGAAGTTAGGGCTACCATCAAGGAGACTGGCCTGGCCACAGCGCGAGACTTATTGAAGATGTCTGAGCTGCCAAATGCTGAGCTGATCCCGGCTGACACCTCTTTTTTCAGCTTCATCGATCTAATCTAGATTGAGGTGTGCCAAGAAGCACGTTGTCCAAATGCTGGAGAATGCTGGTCTGGTGGTACTGCCACAGTGCGCTGGCATTTTGGTGCATACCCTGCATGCCCTGCACCCCGCCTGTGTATCTGAGACGAAATCTGCCAGGTCATGATTATGGGTGACACTTGCACCCGAGGCTGTCGCTTTTGCTCGGTCGTTGGTAGCTGAGTAAACTGGCTGAAAAGAGTGGAAAGCGCAAAGATATTAGCCATTTAGCCATTGCCTTTGCCATTGCTTTGGTTGCTTGATGTTGCCACTCGTTTCCAAACAAATGATTCTTGTTCCCCAAGGCAACCTCTCGTAGCCCGCCGCCCCCAGATGCAGAGGAACCTCGCAAGGCAGCAAAGACTTTGAGGGTGGTCAGAAGTGGTCAGAGGCAACTCCAAGGATTGACCGGTTTTACATTTCCAGAGCTTCGATGATTTATTGAGCCTCCACGAGCAGAGAAGCCAGTGTCCGGCAATCATGTGCGAGTGCGATGTGCATACATGTTTTCACATCTTAACAGCGATAGGATTATGATTGATACTGGTATGTACACAAATCTGAGGCGCAATCAAGTGCAGTAAAACGAAAGTAGTTTGTTGAATTGAATCAAGTGTAATTAGACACATGCTGTGACAAGTTGTGACCATTGAAGATGATCTGGCATGGAGCCACAGTGGCACCAGCTAACACGCTGTTGGGCACCGGGTTTGGGCACCCATGGCACATGCCTCTCGAGGCTTCACCATGTCATCGGTGTCCCGTGCAGGTAGCTGAAGCAGTGACTCGATGGGGCGTTGATTACATTGTGTTGACCATGGCCTGAGCCTCAAATGACTACATGACATTGGCTCAAGTGTAGGAGAGAAATGGAGAGAATATGAAAAAGTAAAATATCTGAAGAGATGTGCTACTATCTAAAGAGGCTTGGAGGCGATTCAATCCAAGAATGAGACTAGTATAGACTAGTCTAAAAGATACAAAAAAAATAAAAACCATTAAAAGAGAATTTCATGCCGATTGCTTCTTAAGACACGCAGGTAGACCGTGACGACCTAGCTGACCAGGGAGCAGCACATGTAGCGGCAACAGTAAGACAGCTGAAGCAGAGGCCCGATGACGGAGTTCATCAAGTGAAGCAGTTCCACGTGTTCCCGATGCAGTTCCCCGATGATGGATTGTGACTGCTGATAGAAATTGATTGAAACATATCCTTCGTGATGGCCGCCAAAGCAAATGAGGACAGATCAAGCTGTAATTAGACACATGTTATTTCAGAGGGTCCTCCATGTCTTTCCGTGCGTTTCTTTTTTCTCCAAGAGCTCCTTACAATCTGCCTTTTCTTCACCCTTGATCGGCTCCGTCACCTTCAGCGCCCTCCTTGCCGTGCCCTCAGTCGGCTTTCCGAGTGGACAGATCAGCCAGATGCAAAGGTGGAAATTTAACACCAACAGGCACGGTACGAGAAGGCCAGAAGGCATCATGAAGAATCATGAAGGTTTCATGGTACATAGACTGTATATAGGTTGGTGACGCAGACCTTCCAAGTTATCATAAGTTATCAACTGTGACGCGCAAGTCCGATTCAGCCGTCCAGGCCCAGGCTGATTTTTCCACACATGTCCTTAGTACCAGCAATGATGATGCAGACGAGTATGGGCAGAGCTTCAACCTGACCCAGCTCCGCCAGGATGTCAGTGGATTGCAGGCAGAGGTGAGAAGCTTGAGAAACAGAAATATAAATATAAATATATATATATTGTCAACAATATGTGCTACTGGACAAACTTGCAGTTGCATGCATTCTGATAATCAAGGAGACAAATGCTTTTGATAAAGACCAGTGGAGCGTGGCAAAACTCATAGATGTCAAAGACTCCCCGCCATACTTCCTGCTGGTCCTTGGTTGCATTGTGGGCTCTGCGCTGGAGCTCTTTCTGCTCGGCCCGCCTGCAATGCAAAGAGCACAGTCATGGTGCTTGGCCAAGCGTGCAAAGCAAACATATAGATTCTACTTGCTGCTGGCCTTCTTCTACGGTGCCAATACTGACATATCGGCAACAATTGCTTTTGCGCGGGACGACTTGCTCAGTTCCGACAAATCGACTGTGAACATTGTCATGGATATTTCTGAGTGCTTAATACTGAAGATGGCGACAGGGAGCAATGCTGATGATGCAATAAAAAAGTTTGTCCTTTGTCCTTTGGACACTTTATTTGTGTCAACTCAACTTCTCTTTAGCATATTCTGGCACGCCACAAGGATTGATGAAGACAAGCCAAGAAGCAACGCGCAAGCTTTTCATTGTCAATGGCCCAATTTTCACAATTTGGTGGTACTTGGTCATTCCGTACCAGTGTGTCTTCCTCATGACAGCCGTGGTTGTCATTTTTCCAACGGTGCTTATTTATTGTTGGGTGGCCATTCTGCTTTTTGCAGCCTTCAATCTTATGGTATGGCAGGTATGGATCTTGATCCAAATTTTTGCGTGGAGAGCTGCGCCTGAAGAATACTATGCTCCGAGCCACGAGGTGCTGGACTTCAAAGGACACCATGCCTTTGGCTGCGCCAGGCCGCTTTGGTTCAGATTCTGACCCTGATAATTCTCAGCATACCTCAGCCATGCTTCGACTTGTGGCTGGATACCGACCTTCAAGACCATGGAAATACACTTGGGATTGGTATGTTCGGGATGTGTGGCTACTGAAGCACGCCAAAGTGTCTTATTCTGCACTCAGAGCATTTCTGTTGGCGTCTCTTGGTCTTCAATTCACATTTTCCTTCTCTTTGCCGGTAGCCATTCGTCTCTTCAACGGTCATGGCTTTATGCCAGCTTTGCTAGAGACCATCAGCGAGCGGCATTGGTACACACACACTATGAAGCTTGTGCTCACAGCTGGCGTGTTTTGTTGAAGTTTTTGTCACGTGCTGTAAGGCTACGTGTTTCTACAAAGCTTTGGTGAAAACTTTGTCATGCTTGAAGAGGGGTTCGCACAAAAAATAAGCGCCGTCTTTGATGGTTTGAGAAGGTTAGGACACAAAAGGATGACACAGCATTTGTGAAGTCTGGCTTCAGCTTTTCCCCTTGTCTATCGCCATCGAACATGGTGCGGTCGCCCGATTTGAGGTTGTGAAGCCATCACTGATGAGCCAAATATGGATGGATGTGTCCGTTCATCCCCAGTATTCGGCTGGAAACGGGTGCGACCAAAGATTCTTTTGATCGTACCAAACAGTCTCCCAAATTACGCAAAACTTTGATGGATCGGTGCAACCAAACACTTGTAAGGAGTTCAACAATCTGAGCACTGAGTAGCATGAAATGCTCCCGCACGTCTTAAAGATCCAGCTTCGTTTTGTATTATGCCGTTTGTGTGGCGGGAACACTTGAACCCACGCATTGGAGAGTGTATCACGTGCGATGTTGATTTTTGATGTGTTGTGCCGTTGTTCTCTCGGAACGATGCGTTCCTTTAAGATATTTTTATGGGACTGACTCTTTGTTTTACCATTTTGCACAGTTTGTTTGGAAGCGTGTACTTTCTTTGGCGCAGGCTTCACATTCTGGGTTTGACATGTGCATTTCGTGTGGTGGAAAAAAGGCCTTCTCAGTGAAGAATGTTACACCTTTTTTTGAACAGAATGGTGCATTCGATCCCAGAAAGACACTCTTCTTGGAACGCGTTGTTTTCCAAGACTGTATATTAGAGGACAATGGTTCTATTAAGTAAGCGCGATGTTCCTGAGAGACAATAGAGCATTTCCAAGAAAAATCAGATGCCATGGCTAGAAGATTGTCCAAAAATATCCAAAAATATACTCTATCAAATGCTATCATGTAAATGCTGCATTTGCATTTTCTTCAATTTGATGCAGTCATATTGAAAAGTCAACTGTTCCTCTTTGACGGGAAGTGTGTCTTCCCCATGCAAATTTCGCATTGTGGTGAGGTTGCTTCGAAGGAAATTTGAAGCTTTTGTAAGAGCATATTAAAGAGCCGGACACGAATAGTAACGGAAAAGTTGTGCGGGCATGTGGAAATACATGGGAATGCACTGTCTATTTTTGTGTCTTGCACTCTGTGGTTACGCTTGTGCATTTTTGTACTGGATTTATCCTACAGGAAGCGAGCATTTGATATATATGCATACAGGGGGTTCCTTTCTCATGGATTGTCCCCTGTTCGCTTGCTGCAATCATACCTTTGCAAGCTTTCCTTCAGAGGGCCAGAACCACGGAAGGAAAACCGCTGCAAGAAAAGGGCAAACATTTCACATTCTGCGCTATTCTGCAGGTAGCGGATAATACACTCATGTGTCTGCATTTAGAGAGAAGGAATTGTTTTTCGAAGTTGGAACTTAGTCTTCTCACTGGCACATTGTTCAGCATCGGGTATTACCAAAGTTGGATGCCCACAACTGAGATGGCTCAACACAAAAAACGATCAATGTGGACCTTAGGGCTTTCAGCTTTGACCCATGGCATGGCCACGTTTGCAGCTGAACCTGGCAGGCAACCAGATCTGAAGGTGGAGACACTGATTGGGGACTTTCAGGGTAAGCTTGACTTGGTGGAAGAGGCCAGGTTCGCGTGCATACAGGACGAAAACTCAAGTTGCATCCCAAAGACCAACAAGGCCCTAAAATGGATGCTCCAACCCACTGGTTGGGGCTCCTTTCATTTTGAGGGTCAAACAAATTACCCTGACTGTCATTTTGCGAAGCCGCCAAGTTTGTGTCTTTCATATGCGGTGGTGTTGTGTAGTGTCAAGCCGCACCAAAGCCTGCAGGTCCTGAATAGTGGCATGGATGTTTTTGCTCACAACGTCGAGACAGTCACTTGGATGTTTTGTAGCACAGCCGGGAGCTGGACAGCAGGACTTTGAGGTTGAAGCAGCCCATCGACATCCATATAAGCCTTTGATTCATTTTGATTCCAAGAACCTGTGAGACATGCTGGGAGATACAGAGCAACTGACACTCTTGCACTTTGGAAGACACAAGACATCCGAAGATGCAATCAAGAGCAATTTGATATTTGAAACACAGCCGCCAAGTGTCTAATGTAGTGAGTACACAGCTGCATCGGACAACAACGATTTTGTGTGCCGAACGACTCAACAGAGTCTCGACGTTTGAACAATGCAGGTCGAGAGGCTCCAGTCAACAGTCCGAGATCGTCGTGCAGGCTACACACAATCTCTGAACGTCCTACGTCATGCCAAGCAGGCGCGAGTTGGAATACAACACAGTTACCGTTTTAGATGCACTGTGTCATCGGCTTCCCATTACAAACACGGGAGTAGCATGCGAAACGGTTTCAGAATCAGGACTGCCCAGGAATTATTAATGGCAGACAACGCTAAGCGGGCAAAGGAGCCCAAAAGGAGCACAGAGATTCAAACAAGAATCAAAAATCAAAAGATCAAAAGATACATCAGGACTGGGTCAAACATATTGATGGATCAAAGAGATGTGAAGTGACAAAGTGATTGATGTGATTTAAGCGCAAGGCTCGGCCAGACGTGGTGACAAAGTCCTCCATCATGCTTGGACTTGGAGAAACAGACGAAGAAATTCAGCAGGCTCGACTTTGTGATGTGTTGAAGCTCAGATTCAATTTCAGTAAAGCCAAGTCTCACATGCATTCACATTTTGATTTCACGTAATTAATTCACATCATGAATCTCAATGCATCTCCATCTCGATGCATTTTTTCGATTTCTGGAGCTGGGCTGTTGGAAGCAATTGGAATTCAATCCGATCACTGGGCCAAGCTTTTGCCACGCTTTTGCGCGCCAGACTCTTCGCGATCTCCGTGATGTGGGCGTTGAGATGGTGACATTTGGACAGTGCTCCTCTTGTCATGTCAGACTTGGGGAATGCCCAGTATGTTAGGACTGCACTTAGCGTCAGCCAGTGTCCGGTTGCAGGTACGGCTAGGTCACTGTGTTAGAACTCCCCGACCTGAACACACAACTCACATGTTTTTTTGCTGAGCACTGCTTCCTTTGATGCCCGCCTCTGTGAGCATTCCCTGTGCAAAGTGTGCGGTTTCACGCGCTTCGTTGAGCAGGTACCTCCAGCCAACCAAGAGGCACATGAAGGCAGATCAAGGGACCAGATATCGGTCCTTCTCGTTTGGAGAGTCTCACCAGCAAGAGAGCCTCATCACAATTCTTGACTGTTTCACTTGTGTACAAGTCAAGCTTCAAACCTTTAACATCGATTGCCATTGCTACTGTTGACGTCACGTGCAGTCAGTCGCAGTTCTTGTCCAGTGACGCTCGCTTCTGCACTCCCCTCTGCTCACTTCCGCGTACACAACAGGACGTCTGATGAATTCTGATGGTGCCAGGTGACTCGGTATGTGACCCCGGAGGAATTTGACCAGTGGCGTGCAGCTGGAGAAGCATGACCCCAAGAGTTGTGCTTACGTTTCAAAGCGTTGCTTGCTCTCTTTCCTATGGATAGATATGGATAGGACGAGAGGACCATTCACCACGGAAGACATGAATAAAAGAAATAAACAGATGAACAAAGGTTCTATGAAGAAGACATGGTACAAACATTAAAAACATGTGTGGGTATATTTTATATAATGTTACATGTGCGTGTATTCACATATTTCTAATGGTTCTTTATGTTCTTTGTTCCTTTAAAGGGGTCCCCTCTTTGGCAATTCGATAGAGCTCCTTGTGCGTTTGTTTTGGCTCTGTAGCAGTCGCTCCTTCGTGCAAAGACGCAGAGGAGACATCGACAGCCTCTTAGCGCAGCTAGTTCTTTTGATATACCTATGATACATAGACTCCATAGACCTTCAAAATCCGTAACTGAGCTATCCCTTTGGTCGACAAGTCCATTATGGAGTCTATCAAGTCCATCATGGACACAATCCTACCCAGGGAGGGTTGCAAATAAGGATAGCCATCAGTACCAACACAGCGTGACATTGCAACCAGACATAACCAGACAAACTACTCCTTCATTGAAACAGCATCGAGCGAGTCCAACATTGAGCAAACATGAAGCCAAGTCCGCATCCTTCCAGACCATTTGCTTTTTGATTGACAACAGCAATGTATGGCCAGATCCCAAGCTGTGAGCACCTTGTTGTACCTTGTTGTACCTTGTTGTACCTTGTTGTACCTTGATTCCTTGGCCACAGATCATTTGTTTCACCCAAAGTCACGTCACCACACGGACCACACGCCACAACATTTGGTGAGGCCTTCGTGGGATCAACAATATCTATGTGCCAAACGGTTTCGATCTCAGCCATGCTTTCAGAACCAGGCAACCGAATGTCATAGCGCCTGATATGTTTCCATGATTTTCCTTGATTTTCCATGTCATAGAATGTTGAAATTACAGCCGCCTCAAGAATGTGCGCAAAACAGAGCAGAAAAGTAGTCACGAATGTTCCATGATGTTCCATGAATATAAGCGAATGCCTTTCGTCAGGTTCAATGATTGTTCGCATTTTTGGCAAGGGTGCCTGTATCCTACCTTGTATCCTACCACCTAAATTAAGTGGTACAGAGCCTGCTTGCCCTTTCAATGTCAGAGCATTTCAAGCTGTGCAACCGTGACCAGTGATCAGGTACTGGTCGAGACAGCATCATTACTAGGAGTCCGGCTTCACTTGTCCAATGGAATCAAAGCTTTGGTCAGAAGGGTGACTTTGACCATCTTTGACCACTGGCAATCATGACAACCGTCCTTTTCCATGGCCGCGCAGGAGTCAGGATTTCAACAAGGGGAAGGCCGGACAGTCCTTTTCTTGTTGTGTTGGATTGCGCGGCTAAAAAATAAGGAAAACTATGCCTATTGCCCTCATTTTCCCATAACATGTTTCGTTTTTTGCGCGCCTATAAGGGGCATTGTCTCTTTAAAGCGACTTGGAGACTTGGAGGTTTACTCTCCGTCTGTCAACAAGTCGTCCATGGCTGCAGCGGGCTTGCCTTGTCAACCTCCGTTCTGGACTAAGAGTATTGCGCCTTCTCTTGGAAATCTTCGACGACACTAAATATCATTAAATTATTCTTCCATCTTTTTTGCGAATGGCTGGGGACTAGTAATGACTAGTATTGTTTGTCTTTTGTTTATCTTTTGGTCTTTGATCAAAGCCATTCTGCCAAACAGCTGCACTTTGCGGTCGGGTGTTGCTGTGTGCAACGCTCGGCCTAGGCCTAGATCTCACGGGCCACGGCCCCTGAGCCCAGCCCGACTGGATGGCATGGTGAAGGGCAAGCGGCATGAAGTCAAGGCCCAAAAAGAACACACACACAGACAGATGACTCTAGATGACTCCGTAGACTCTTGCATGCTGTTGCAGACTGTGGCATACTGTTGCACTTCATTCCCTTTTTTGGGACATCGAATTCTCCTGGAACTCAGATAGGAATTGGAGGTTTCTCATTGATTCTGATTTTGAAGTGCTTGTTCCAGAAACTCGCTCCATCATTTTTATTGTAGCCATGCAGTTTCATTTATTGCTTCCCACCAACTCTGGACCCCTTCTTTTCCATTCGACAACATTCGACAATGCCTTTTGCCTACGGGTTCGAGCCTCCTACGCCTTATGGTTCACACATTTGACATTATATGTGTATGTATATATATATATACAGTATACACGATAATTTTTGAAGTGACGGTCTCGATAACAGCAAGGTCTTAGTCTTGTAGTCTCAGGTGATACTATCAGTCATGCTAGTCTCAGTCTTGAACACCAGTCTCAGTTGTGAACATGTGTGAACACAGGTTAATCAGAATCTACTCATGTTTCATCATGTTTCTTCGATTTGACCTTGTCTTTTGCGAGGCGCCAACGAAGCGCAGTTCTTCTGTGTCTGCATTAGTGGAGAAATGGTCCCAGGCCCTGAGATTTCTACGAGAGAACCCGAGTTGCCCCAGATGTTTTCGATACGACGATACGAAAACATCCGATGTATTGCGACTAATTGCGACGTACTATGAGTTTACGTCCTGCCAAGTCCATATCAGGCACCAGGAGCATACCCCTTCGCATAGCCCTTAGATCTGAATCTTCAACAAATCGAAGCTTGAAAGAAGTTTGAAAAAGCTGAAGTTGTTCATACTTGTTCATACTTGTTCATTGAGCAGCTCTAGCAGGTCCCAGATCATTGTCTCAACGATTGTGTGAGTCTTTCATGCCAGTCTTTCAAGCTGCTTCTCCCTGAGATCAGCCCTATCAAGATGCAGCAGAGACAACGTGTTGAGCTTGGGCCTCAATGATGAGTGAGACATGGTCACACAAATTTGTCTCCCAATCTAATGGCCGGCTTGTTTCGCCATTTCTTTCCCAGCCACTTCTAGCCTACTGTAATCTTAAATGCTTGCTACAGACACCATAACACCAATCAGCTTCCTGAATCTTTCATTGACCAAGTCCTGTTGTGTTGGTATGTGTTGCCAAAGTCTTACCCAATATGTCATTCTATAGAGTTGCACATATCATTAGCTACACAAAAGCAATAATTGTGCACCGCAGCTTGTAACACATCTTTTTGTCGCATGTTAGTGCTTGTTCTTGTTCTTGTTCTTGTTCTTGTTGTTGTGGTTGTCGTTGTTGTTGTTGTTGTTGCTGTTGGTGTTGGTGTTGGTGTTGTTGTTGTTCTTGTTCTTCTTCTTCTTCTTCTTCTTTTTCTTCTTCTTGTTGTTGTTGTTGTTGTTGTTGATGTTGTTGTTGTTGTCGTCGTCGTCGTCGTCGTTGTTGTTGTTGTTGTCGGTTGTCGTTGTCGTTGTCGTTGTCGTTGTCGTTGTCGTCGTTGTTGTTGTTGTTATTGCTGTTGCTGTTCTTGTTCTTGTTCCTGTTCTTGCAACACATCGGATTTGCGCATTTTTGTGGGCACCTAAAAATCGTCACGTAGGCGGTGCCTTCGCATTTTTTTGACACTCTCGGAGAAAAAAACACCGTAAGTACCGATGTTTTTTGCGCCTCGGAAGCCCAAAAACAAAGTATTTACGATGTTTTTTTGCCTCCGGTAGCAAAAATCGTGGTATTTACAATGTTTTTTTTGCCAGCGCCTGCATTTTCAGCATGTTGCAAGAATATTTTTTTCCATGCCAAAGGCACAAGAACACAGTAAATTGCAGCGTTGGCTCTTCGCAAGCACCAAAAAAAAAAAGACGCACGCCAAAAAGTGCCCAAAATGGACCTCAAAAAAGCGTCTCGTTATTTTTTCGTCTGTTTTCCCACCTCAGACCCCAAAAAGCGGAAAAACAACAGCAGAATGAAGGATTCTGGGGGGTCGGCGGCAAGGGTGCCCCCGGGTAGCCAAAGCTAACGCTGCAAGGTACCACAAAACACGGCGAAGCATCGCCGGATTTGAGGGCTGCCGCCCTCGGGCAAGACGAAGCTGGGGTGGGTGGCAGGGGGCGGGTTGGAAGGCCAGACGCAACGCGTGGTCTTGAGGCTCAAGGAGACAGTGAGAATGAAAAAACAACAACATGAGACAGCCGCCAAGTGAAAAGGATATCAGTACACGGCCCACCTCCTAAGCGCTTACCGTCGCCTTTGAAAGCTACATATAGACCTCCTTTGAAGGCTGAAAACCATTGGCTTCGCACGGCCCTAACCCCAGGACGGACCCTTTGAAAGCCAAAAACACTTGTTTTACACAGACGCTTTTACACACAATCGCTTTTACACACAAACACTTTCACACACGCACGCTTTTACACACGGACGGTTTTACACACAAACACTTGTTTCACACAGACGCTTTTACACACAATCGCTTTTACACACAAACACTTTTACACACAGACGCTTTTACACACGGACGGCTTTACACACAAACACTTGTTTCACACAGACGCTTTTACACACAATCGCTTTTACACACAAGCACTTTTACACACAGACGCTTTTACACACGGACGCTTTTACACACAAACACTTTTACACACAAATGCCTTTACACACAGACGCTTTTACACACAGGTGCCTTAAACACACAATCCTGCGCACACAGACGCTTTTACACACAGACGCTTTTACACACAGGTGCCTTAAACACACAATCCTGCACACACAGACGTTTTTTACACACAAACACTTTTACGCACAGAACCTTTTACACACAGACACTTTTACACACAGACACCTTTACACACAGAAGCTTTTACACACATACACTTTTACACACGGACGCTTTTACACACATACACTTTTACACACAAAGACGCTTTTACACACAGACCTTTTACACACGGACGCTTTTACACACAAACACTTTTACACACAGATACCTTTATATACACACAGACGCTTTTACACACAGGTGCCTTTACAAACAGACGCCACTGCCTGCGGACCCATCTACTCCACCCACAAAGGGCATTTACCGCCCATCATGTTCCTTCGCCGCCATTCTCCTCCTCGCCTCGGCCGCCCCACATGAATGCCTCTTGCCGAGCTGCTCGTTCTCTGCACGGCGCCTTCGGGTGACTGTGAATTTCGGTCGGGGGCTTCAAGTGGTGTTCCTGCACTCCGTCACGCCGTTGGTTTCAGCCCCTTCGACATCAGTATTCCATGCTTCCTCAGCAGCTTGCCACTTAGCAATCACCTCAATCCTCATTCATATCCTCCAACTTTCCAGTCACTGCCTGCGGAGCAAACCTCTCCACTCACATAGGGCATTAGGACAACCACCACTTTTGGTCTTCCAATAAAGACCCTGCTGCGGCAGGGGGTGTGTGTATGTGGAACTTCTGAACAGAAGTAAAACCTCTACTGTTGCTTCTTTTTCAGCTTTCTGATTTCAGCAGGGGGCAGTGGCCCACTCATGAGTCCATTGCCAATGAAGCTACTCATGAGTTGAGAGGATATCGGGACTGATCATCCCGACGTACCTGCAAAGATCTTATTTTCTGGACATGGGGCGTGGCCAGCCCAAGAACCACCTCGCCGAACAGTTTGCAATTTCACTTCATTGACTTTTTCATGTACGATACGTGCGTTGCCGCAATCTGGGGTTTATTTCAACAATTTTTTCAAAACAATTTTTGACTTCCACTACACCGGCTATGGCGATGGTAGCCTTCTGATATTTTTTTCGGGTCTCTTCACCGACCCATTCCTGTCAGGTGTAACTGGAGTGTTTTTGCGCGTAAGATGCATTCTACAACAGAATTCGCAATGACAGTTCTGAGCAAGTGCGTGTACTTTGCTTGTGCGTCACTTCAGGCCACTGGAAGGTTGGGCTTCTGCGGCTTCTTGGTCGCCAGCCATGGCAAAAGGCGCCCTCGCGTCCCAGAGCCCAGTGTGACACGGAAACAGATGGTGAGAATGAACATTTCTATAGCCTTGGCACCGCTCATAGCATCTCAAGGCAAACACAGCATCTCTTCATTTTTTGCTCCTGAACACGCAAAAAAAAATAAAATAAAAAGATGAGAAGTGTGGGATGGCGGATGTGGGGACACGTATCGGCCCAAACATGCCCAAACCCGAAGCAGCTTCCAAGTTTGCTTAAGCCACAGGTCAGTACAGAAAGCCGCGATGCTCAAGGCCTTGGTGAAACCTTTCTGTTCAATCTGTCAGATTGGCTTGAATTGTATGAAGTTGTGTGATACTGACTGTGTTTCACTGACGAATCTGTCAACATCAACGTGTTGAAGTTCTTCGGTGGGGCACTGTGTCATAAGAACATTGAACGAACAACTCCGAATCTCTGTCAATTCAAAGGCGTTGAGCCTGCCTCAAAGTCACAAGATCTTGATTTTCCTCGTTCTTGCATCTTTCTGTAGGAACAGCTCCGAAGCGTGTCTCTTTGTGTGGTGAAACACATGCGGCGTGTTTGAAAATGTTTGACTTGGTGGAAAGTGTGAGACATTTTGGGGTTGACCGCTGGCAGAGGCATAGTGGCGGCACAGTGAATCTGACTGAAATAGGCTTGTTGCCGCGAGATTCAGTCAAGTGATAGGAAGCGAAGTTCTCACTAGCAGGTTTTTCACCATATACGAGGAACCGAGAATGGTACAAGCATGGTCTTTCCAGCCACGAACCGGATGGGGTTCGCTTCCAAGAAGTAAATCGGTGATCAAGTTGGGTTCATCAGCGAAAAAGTGTGCTTCGCACCTGCAAGAATTGACAAATTTGAGACCTGACTCGCAATCAGATGAAACCTTATGCATTTTCAAAGGGTTTCAGCCTTGTAGCCCATGCACTCCCACTGTGGATCAAACTTTGAGGTCCGCTTTGAAGTTGACTGAAACTGAGGCTCTAGGATTGCATGTGGCGTCCGGCCCCATGGTGTGGGAGCACAGGCTTCCAACAGCTTTGTAACGAAGCAAGGATGGCTCGGAAAAGTTGTGCCAATGATTCATCAATGAGTTTAGCCTCTCCTAGCCTTTTTTTGTGCGTGGGCTTGAAGAAATGAATCAAATCTTACAAAACAATATATAATTGGGATCAACTGAGAATTGAATGGGGCTGAGGTCGGGACCATAGAACAGGGCTGTGTCGGCTGTGTTGATTTTACAGTCTGCGTGATTGACGCGATTTGAAGTTGAATACTTCTTAGAAATGGCTGGGACTTGTCGATTGATGTCGTTTGTGGTTGTTTGTGCGATTGTTGCAATACTTCTATTATGTTTTCTTGACTCTTGACAAACTTTCACGGACAGCTTTGCAACGTAGGGCACCTGGCTTTTGCTTGCAAGGTTCGATCCTCTTATCGCGCAGGTGACTTCTACAAAAGTATCTACAAGGCCAACGACTTTAGCAACCAGCAAACTGACTGAGCTGAAACAAAGATAAGTATGTTAAAAGACATTGAAAGGATGATGACAGGATTCAAGTAGCCCATGAAGAAACACAGCTTTGCCCATGGCAATTTTTCTGTCAGGATCGCATGACGAAAGGAGACCCGGACAGCTGGTCCGGACAGCACTTTTCAAACCTTTTTTTTGGAGCCAAATTCTGACTAAAGGATCGTGCAGATGCAGAAATTGTAGCATTGCAAGCACCAAGATCAGCGTTTGAACCAGCAGATTTGCTGCAGAAACTGGCAAGATCCATGCGCGAGGAGCCGCAGCTGCGCAAGGCCTCAAACAGAGACCGCGAAGCCTCCTTAGTGGATAGATTTCCTTAGGTTTCTATGTTTATTCATGAATTTCACAAGCTTGTATGAAAATGTGGATGACCAATGCAAATCTAAACACATGAGATTCTCATGAGACAACATTCATCACCAGGTATGGAAGTGGCAACTCAGCCCACTCTCTGAATCCTGTACATAGTGACGCTCACGTCCCAAAAGGATAGCATGGACATGCGATACCGTCCAAAAGCCAGGGACAGAAAGAAGAGTCTTAACGTGGAAGCGGATTCATGTAGTCGCAAAATTATTTGGGAGCACTTCACAAAAACACCACGATGCCATCTTTTGATAGCCCTGCAAGCAAGCTTGTTGCCTCGAGCCAGCATGGGGCATTGTTGGTCCAATGTGATACCCTGGGGGATCCGATGAAATCGTGGGTATATTTAAGTTTTAAGTTTATTTGATCCTGTTATCTTCTAAACAAATTTGGCGTCTTGTTGCAAATGTTGTTTGAAAGAAGTTGTGCACAAGTTCTTGCTGACCAAAGTGGCGAGACTGACCATTTAGGCAAATTTAGGATCTAATGATGCTTAATGGTCTCAGAATTTAGAATGTTTCAAAAGCTGGCGTTTGGTGGGCTGAGTTTGAGCACGGCCAACTGTGAAACAGAATGGTCGACCAAGTGAACCCAAAATATTTTCCACAACGTTTCCGGCTGCCTTGGCAGCAGGGCAGCCTGGCTGCCTTGGCAGGATCGAAACGTTTGGGTTTCCGGTGCTCTCCAGGTTCGGTTCAGATCGGTTCAGATGGTTCAGGCCTGTTCGGAAAACGAGCAGATGATCCAAACGTTTACAGTTCATCCGCTCAGTACTTGACGCTTGGATCGGAATGGTCTTAGCTTTCCTGGTCGTTTCCAAGAGGATGTGCGGAGAACTCACCGTGACGATCTGGGTTCGGAATGGTTCCGAGTAGAGCGCAGCGTGCTGCTTGGCGAATTGGGAGGACCAAAACAGCGACAGAATTGAGAGAATTTGACGATTGAGTGTGAGTGACGTGCATTGGCACTGTCAAAGTGTGACTGGGCTTGGATTGTGGATTACATTCTGCTCCTTTGGATTCCCGGATTCCCTCGCGTATCTCCACCCATCCTTGACAGTTTGGACGTGTGGAGGTGGTCACGCAGGTCGAGCACTCTTTCAAGCGCAAGGACGAAAACTGGTTCAGACCCAAGCTCATTTGTTGTCGTAGATGAACCTCCAAAATGGTGAGCTCATAAGAATCCTAGCAGCTTTTGGGCACTCCATGAGACTTGAGACCGGTAAAGCCATAGATGCGATCGAGTGCCACAGGACGAAGGCTTTCCTTCGTTCTCCTGTTTTTGATCTACAATTATTTTCTTGGCAAATCTTTCCAAGGCCCATTTGCCCTTGGTGTAAATCACTAGCCCGTCCCCATGTTCTGATGTCGCGTCCTCAGCAAATAGCTTTTAACATATTGACTTTTCATCAGACCGGTACAAGGAATTGAAAATTGAAAACCGCCGAACTTTTGAGAAATTAAGATAAATTTGGACGCATCGATATGCAACATATGCCGTTGTGCTGATCTGGAGGGTTGGGTCAAAACAGGTTCAACGATGCCCACATGGCAAGCGACATGGAGCAGGCGCAATGTCAATTTCAACCGGTAAGATCAATAGCCAATCAACCGCTGAGAGATACACATTTCATGTGCTGACATAGTTGTGGCAGAGGGTCTTCTCGGTGCAGCCTTTGTACGTTCAACATTCAACAGTATTCTGGGCTAGCCGCTGTGGGCAAAGATTTTCACTCTTTAAGAGCATAAAGAGATATGCATGTCCGACACACGTCCGACATAGGTCCGGCATGGACCACATGTGTCGCAATGTTTTGAGTTTGGCATAGCTTGGCTTGTAAGGAGCTTCGCTTCCAACGCTGGAGAGAGGTGCTGATAGATGCTGGCAGGCACGGCATCTCACAAGTCTCCAAAGCGTAGTGATGATCTTTAGCAACAGACGGATAAGAAAGGCCCAAGAATCATCAAGAATCCGTGAAACTTTTGAGGGAAAATTGCGAGGTCGTGTCGACTCTCTCGTGGCAGACTCCTCCGTTTGGTCATCCTGGAGATTGGCTGTGGAGGTGAAACATGTGGAACTGAAAAAATGCCAAAAAAAAAACTGCCGCGGATGACCAAGTCAGTTAAAAGTCATTCAAAGCCGTTTTTTTATTCGTGCCGTTGCAGCGACTCTGTAGCGACAGATCAGGGCGGGTTCCTACAGTCCGTGCAACGTGCGAAACGACAGCTGCACAGATGAAAAAGAACGCAGATGTGACTGGCACGAGCCCAAGAAGATCCAGAGTCTGACAGGTTAGTCTTAAGCGGTTTTCTGAAACTTTCGAGGACTTTGAATTAGGTCATATTGGCTCACATGAATCTTGACAGCTCAGTTGCGAATCCCTTTGTTCATTTTTGTCTCAGTTGCGCGCATTAATCTCGACTTCCCGCTGCCTGACCGGCTTCATCCTCTTGCAAGTGACACGTCAGTGGCTTGAGGGCAGTAGCAGGGCATGAAGACATGGGCACAACAAAACAGCACAGATACCCAAATCTTCTGCAGTACTTGATGGCGCTTCCAAAGTTTTCAAGGGTTGGATGGAGAGAGCTGGTCAAGAGTCCTCTGTTATTTGAGGCGGTATCTATGCCTCCCAATGAAGGGCTTGGAGGCAGTGGCAGATGTGGAAATGCCAGTAGCAGAAAGATATCGCATATATACTTAGTCTGCATCCCGTATCTGCTTTACTGCTTTTTCAATGCGCTTTCTCGGTTTTGCCATTCGCGACATGTCAAGAAGATTAAGGGCTAAGCCGCCTGTGGCCCGTCCGTGACGAATGGCACCCCGTCGCAGGGCTTGAGAAAGATTTCAGAGCACTACGCGGAGCTCATGAAGCCAAAGCCCGTCAAACGGTACTCTGGCGATTTTACTGCAAGATATTGCACGCGTCAAAAAGCCGATTGAAAAAGCTTTCGCCAAGAAAAGCACAAGAAAAAGAGATAAAGCACGATGAAATGCGGAGATGAAGTAGCCAGAAGCCAAAAGAACAAACCAAGTCCAGAGATGACCAAACTCAAAGAACATCACCAAACTAGTTTTTTGTTGCCAGAGTTCTCACTTCTGCCCCAGGCGACTGGAAGCAGCAGCACAGGCACGGGACTAGACACGAACAGTATCGAACAATCGAAACAGATACATCAGAGACTACTGTCACGCAAAGACACAAGTGTCGTGAAATAACATGTTCATTGATTGTCGGAAAGGAATACATAGTTTTGAAGGAGTGATCGAGTCGTCAATTAAAAGAGGGATCTGAGTTAACTGGTGAGTTGATGAAATCTGAGGCGAAAACTGAGTGGAAACTGAATGGAAAGAATTGCGAACTGAGTGCTGAGGAGCAAGGGCCTCGAGGTCCTCGGGATCGAAGCTGGAAGCTCAGGATATGAAGCGAAGCCCAAAAGCTTTGCTTACCTCGCTCTCCTTCAGCCTCCTTCAACTTGTTCTATTCTAAACATTTTTTATCGCTCTTTTTTTTCTTTTTTAATAGCACTTTCGCTTCATACCTTTGCGCATCTGTTTTGCGCACCTCGTGGTGCAATGAGTTTCAAAACTTATCCTGAGACTCACAGAGCTTCTCCATGCTTGTTCTTCAGTTCACTTGGTCATTTCTGGATGAAAATAGCACTTGCATCTGGGCCGTTCCTGGCTACTGTGGGCAAGGCCGAAGCCGTGATGCTCAGACGCCCATTGTAGAAGCTGCAGTGCCTTCTGTGTTTTGCGCTTAGTTTGCGCCTCTTAACACAGCGCAGATGGGAAGCCATCGCGACACGGATGTAATTATCTATCACAATTATCTGATTGGAATGTGTTTGTCTAGGTGAACATGATATTGTGTCATGCGTCTTGATTCTACATTTAACCTTGATTGGTGTGCACGAGTCTTTTGACGTCTTTTGCAGACTTCCCAAGACATGGGTTGTGCTCATTTCCATTCCAAGGACAGCAAGGGCTCCCCAGGAGTCTGAAGCACGCTGCAAAATGCATCAAGAAACACTTTCGTTATTTCGAGTGAGGTATGGCCGCCAACATTCCATCTAGCATGCGCTTCTCTGTTCCCACAATTCAAGAGGGCTCATTTTTGTTCTTAGATCATGATTTTGTTTTTTTGTACAGCGAATGTTTGGGGTCTTTCTTTGGGCATTTCAATTCGGAGATATTGTCAAAGCAATGAACACGCAAAGTGATAGACTGGGTTCTTCCGTGCTTTTGATCCGTGCCCATTGCTCGGAACCTTTTTTCCCACATGATATACCCATCCAAAACTGTGTGAGCGGTTGCTTTGCTGGTATTTGTTCACGTTGATACTCTGATACTCAAATTTGTTGTGCTGATTTCAAATGTCTGACCATTTATAAGCGTCTTTTTGGATGTATACGCCAGGCCAAAACCTGCACTAATAAGAAAACCTTGCCATGTTTTTGCGATGGCCTTTACACACCTCAGATTCGTTAAAAAGGTTTGACAGCCTTTTCACCTTGTGTTGTTTGCATTGTTAATGTTTGGCCCGCTGTGCTTCTTCTTGAATTTAAGATGACGCAATGAACGTCGCACTAGTTTGGGCGAATATCGTGTTAACTTGCTACCAAACACAACTTGCATTCACTGGTTTTGCTGCTGCTTTAGTAGGCGTAGTTAAGCGGCAGCCCATTACTGGGCCTGTGTATTCTTGGAGATTGTCCTATGGGAAACCGAAACTGCTCAGACATTTTCAAAAGTGGACCTTAGAAGCCGTGTATCTTGGGAGAAGTGCAGTTCACTACAAAATCACATTCCACGAGACTCCGCCAGGGGAGTATGATACTGAGCTTTTGGGGTCCCAACCAAGTTGTCGATTGTTTGGGCTGTTGACATGGTTGATATTCTTTGTCTTTGTTGCTTTCAAAATTGCTTTTGCCCACCAGATTGACACAAGCTGGAATGAACGTCTCACTTTTTCACGGGTCTTGTATGATGTTGCTATCAAGTGGACTGTGTGTGGATGCATTATTCTAGAATTCGCATCGCGACGCGCACTGCCCGAACCCTGCTTGTATGAAAGGTTACTGGTTGGAAGCGAGAAGGGAAATTTTGCAGATCAGGGATCGCTTTTCGAAGAACCCTTCGCGGAGGCAGGTCTTGCACATGCAAGATTCTGCAAGATGCTCTCACACACATTTTAAGATATGTTAAAGCTTTTCGCTTGAGAGCCGCGTTTTTTCTTGAAAAAAAAACCCAAACGCAACATGTTTTGAAGCAAGGTACGGACCGAAAAAGTTCCACGCGCACGGCCTCCAAGAACTCAAGTTCCCAAAGAGCCTGTTTCAAGAAAAGGTTCCTGGATGCCGAAAACATGGAAACACCAGCTCAGCATGACACCAGCTTCAAGCAGCTTCAAGCAGCTTCCCCACAAACTTCCAGAAAAGCCAGGTTTCCAAGAGGATTGCTTAGAATATACAGGATGCACCATGTCTTCCTGACTAGGCTCCCCAAAAAAGCACGGCCCCGAAAGGCGCAAGGTTGCAAATAAAAATTTCTCTCAAAAAGGATTTTTAAGAGCAGATTCCCAAGGAAGAGATTCGCAACAAAGGTTATGCATCAAATATGCCCCGTTCTGCTGTTTAGGGCGGTCTGTATGTTCTGTGGTTTGTTCATAGGTAATTTACTCATTGTTGTTGTTTGGACGTGCAGCAAAACAGGAGCCAAAGCAAGCTCCAAAGCCAGCTGCAAAGAGGAGATGCTCAGTCTGTCACAGAGCACTGAGATTCCTCGCTGCCCATTGAAGATTGCAATGTGGTGCCTTAATGTGGAACATATACACTATACATGTATTGACCTGTCTTGTATCAAATTTGTCAGAGTGGGTGATTTTGATTGTTGCCGCACCAGCTGAGCCAAGAGCACTAGAAGCATCACATGCAGGTGGCGCTTCACCCTGTAGCATCCTATAGCAGCATATAGTGTTTTCGTGTATTTTCATAATATGTCTAGTTTTGTTTCATCTAGTCAGTATGCTTAGCATACCTAGATATGCCAATTTTGTTTGTGCTCAAACCGTGTCTATTTCCTATGTTTTGTATATCGCGCGCAGCGGCGACGGCAGGAAGGCAAAGGCCAAGAGCATGCCAATGCCAGGAGCGGCGTATTGCATGGGGCAAAATGGGACATCCATGGACATCCTGAGAGTGCAGCCTGAGACTTCGACAAAAAACATTTGAGTCATACTGCTGGTGGCAAGGCGCTGCAAATGCCCCGCCAGTCGAAGGTAGCAGAAACCACGCGCGGCTCAGACCTTGGAAAAGGATAAGGGGGGCATAGGCACAACGTCAGCATCTCCAGAGTGAGCATGGTTTGCGTGATATAAGGTGCCTTGTTTGCACCCTTTCAAGTCTGAGTTTGTCCTGGATGTTTCCGCCTGGGAAAAATCAATTTATTGTAGACAGAGCATCCACCTGCTTTGGTTTTAGCGTTTTTGGAATTATATATATATAATATGTGAACAAAACGATCCTTGTTCTGGATATCCTTGATGTTGAAGTACCCTTGTGCTGTCAACCGAACCGATCAAGACATGAAGCAGCGCAGCGCATTATTTCCACCTTGCAATGGGGTCTTGAGCCATATGGCGTTCCAATGCATTTACTGGTGCAAATGTACAGTGAATGTATCTACATTGTCATCTCGTTCCCTTTAGCACCCCCCATGCCCGTGGTATCTTCGAACCACGGACACGAGATAGGGAACTTTGAATTATTGAGGTCCTGCTACTTGAATTACGCCTATATACATAAAGATGCCATTCGGCTCCCCCTTCCCCACATACCCGTCGGGTATAATGGTTCAGGGTTCACCTACTCTTTGGCTGTCGATGCATTGGCGCATCATCAAGCTGTACAACGCGAATTATTGCTAGCTAACACCTACCTTTTCTACGTTCGCTAAGCTCACCACTCACCCGTCGGGAGAAATGGGTCGCCTCGCTACCAAAGATTTACAGTGCTAACTAACGAATTCACGTGCACTATGCAGAATCTCGTGCAGATTGGGAAAAAAAAATCAAAGTTCTGAACCTAAGCGAATTAGTCTAATGCCTCGCTCAGAATCCACTCAGTTGGTCTTTTCCTGATCATCTGTTCACAAAGACGATACACATCTTATAGACCAGTGATCATGAATCAATTGGTTTACTCCTCACGGCGGACTTTCTTCCATTGAGGTGCTGATGGAGGTTTCTCCCATTGTGCCGCACGTTTTGGAGCAGCTTTCGGCGATGAAGGCCTTGCAGGCGGCGCCTTTGATGGTTCATGGGACTTCGGCATAGCTTTGGCTTTTGGTGCGCTAGCCGATGAGGATGATGCCGAATCAGTGCCTTCAGGCTTTTGTGAAGGTTGTGCGGGTGGTTTGGCAAACTTTGAAGCTGCAGTATGTCCAACCGCTTTGAATACCTCGCTCACCACTTCGTCACCAAGGGTTGGAGCCATCTTCGTTTTCATTTCGGTCTTTCCCCTTTGAGCTTCAGCCTCAGCCAGCTGGATAGCATATGCCATTTTGCTCACAAAATTTTGTGGCAAGGCAATTCCACACTGTTGGGCTGCAAAGAGCAACTCTACTCTTTGTTCTTTCTCCCTTAGGCTCAGATAGACTGAGAATGCCGGAAGTTCGATGCAGTCGGGGAAGCCGTGGCTCCCGGATCGAAAGAAGGTGTACGACTCGTACTCTGGGAATGTCCCTTTGAGAAGTCGCCGAAGGAAATTGCTGATTGTCACTCGCATCTCCTGTTTCCCTTGGGCATCAGCCTGCATTCGGTTCATTGGCATGAGGAAGCCTAGTGATTCGGGAGTGTATCCGGCGCATACCAGAAATTCCATCATCTTCTCATAGATCTCCAAAGTCTTGATGACAGGCGTCATCATGTTTCTGGGTCGTCCCGAATACAGTTTCTCTCCTTCCGACCACGAATTCCTCTTCGCTTTCTGCTGGAAGAGTTCGTCCAGCTCCATCTCCGTCGGTCGCATGAGGTTGCCATCCTGGTCTTCTCCTGTATAAGGGCAGAAGTCGTCCAGGTCCAGCCGGACTCGCTTGGTCTCTGTCATCATCTCATGGTATTCCTCTGGGGTCATGGTGACTCTTTGTTTGTAATAAAACCGGAACATGGTGATGATCTTTGACATGACTGCGTTGTCATATAAGTGAGCCGCAGCCTCGGAGACATCATTGTTGATGAGTCCATCTTCTGGCATACCCTTGCTGCCGCTCTCGAGGTTCTTGGTCCATGCTGGAAGCTTGGAAGAGGGTTCATCTTCAGGCTCGACGTCCATTTCGTCGTCGTCATCTTCAACGATTTCGTCGTCCTCTCGTTGAGCTTCCTCCTCCTGATCCATTTCTTCATCATCGCCTTCGTTGTAATCGACCTCATCGGGATTGAAGCCATAGTCATTGGATTCGGACACATTCTCTTGTGCTTGATTGACCGTATCCTTGAACAATGACTCCTCTTGTCGACGAACTTCTTCATCGAGCTCTTTCTTCGAGGCCTCATCCTCATCATCTTCAGGAGCTTGTAGCCGATATGGGCGGATTCCACAACTTTCAAGTTCCGTCCAGCAAACTAGACAAACTGCTAGTTTTGTCGGCGTCTCATTGAGACAGTGAGGACAATGGCGGCAACCTGATGTTTGCACCCTTTTGCGTTCGACTATATAGTCAATCAGCTTGATGCGGGCCATGTATTGTTCTTGTCCACCAGGTTCGATGAGGTTGTTCTCAAATTTGTTGACGATGTTCATGGCATCCATGGCGGTTTCGTCAAATGGTTGTTCCTCGGCGTCGATGCATTGCCTCGCAACCCTCAAGATGGACTCCTTGGTGGCTACCGTTCTTGACTTGACCGTTCCAGACCGAACTACTTGGTCGTCGCCCGACGGGACGAACAACCGGATCCATGTCTTATTGTTTTGGTCTCTGGGGTCCTGAATCCATCCTCCTTTGATTGCCGAGAACGGGATGATCTTTGGTGAAACGATCTGTCCCGAATCAGTCAGTCGACCGCCGTAATCCACCATCAAGGTCTCAGTCGGGACGAACAAGCAGATGTAGTCCCCCCTTCGCGTATCAACGCTCTTCGTGATGGTCCATGATCTGTGATCCCAGGGCACATACGGGTTGAAGAACGTGAACATCCGATGACCTTCTCCAAGACCTCCTGGAATTATTCCCTGCCTCCAAATACTTCGAAGGTTGGTCTTCTTGGTGATGTGGAAACAAACCGGTAACGATAAAATGGTATTGGGCGCGATTGGATGTGACAGTAGTGAGGACAGCAATGAGACGTCGTCCCTTGATGATCCTTCCTTGTGCCCCGTAGGAGCACGGACCGCTACAGGATATAGCAGTAGACCTTCATCAGGGATGTTCGTGTCTGCATCAACATTGTTGTCAATGCACGTCAGGCTTTTGCGCTCAATGTCCTTGTTGATGCCAAATGCCAAGACTTGTTCACGAACACGACGCCCATACCTGGCACAGTGGAACATGATCTTGAAGAGCAATGTCATGCGGAAGTTTGCCTCTTTGAGATTCCAGGTGGTATGATCATTTGCTCTCCCTTTTGGAGCAAGGAACACATGTGGCCAGCGTGCATAGTCGTGCCTCCAGATGGACTCGCATTTGAGCACGTCCTCGATGGGCACCCAGCCGGCGTCATCACATGGCAGACTTTGTTGCTCTGATACTTTCCCCACGTTGTGCCGCAGGATCCTGTTTAGTGATGTACTCACTTTGTCCTCGTAGGTGTTGAGTCGATTGCCAGTGTCAAAGCGGTAGTTTGCTGCATATTCGACGCCGCCGAAATAGGAGCAATTGAAGAAATGCGCCCCCGTTGTTGGGATGATTTTCAAGAAACCATCTTGCGGCGCCTCCACTCTCTTGTAGAGGGGCTTTCTGATATTGTTATCAGAATAGCTTGCCATGAACTCTGGCACGGACCACGAGTCGCCTCCTCCTCTGATGATAGCGTCTCGGATCACTTCGTTGAGGTCGACAATGTTCTGTGGTCCTAGCTTTGTGATATCACGTCCCTCTATGCAGAATCTACCATACTCATCGAGGTCACCAACTTCAGACATAGATCTGATGCTGTCGTACCATTGGTGTTCACTAAACCTCGATTTTGTGGGTTCCTCCGTTTGCCCCGACCCATGAGTAGCACCTGAACCGTCCTTCTTGTGCTCAGGAGGCTCCATATCGACGTCATCAGATGTTGGACTATCAGCCTCGAGCGACGCTCGGACGGCCTTTAGCACCTTTCTGACTTCATCTCTCTTCTCATGTTCACACTCAAGGTGGCCATGTTTGGTGCTACCACAGTACAAACACACATTGACATCCTCGGAGACGGTGAAGAGTTTTCCCAACGCATCCAAAAGTTGTTGCTTCCCGGAAATTTCTGAGTCCCTGACAACATCGGTTGGATCATTTGCTGGCTCATCAGCTTCCTCCTCCCCAGGGTGAGCCGACGACTCGTCACCTGGCTTGGCATCTGCATCAGTGCCCATGCTGGCATCATCCCCTGTGATGTTGTTCTTCTTCCGATAGTGGGTGAACACCTGGTCTTTCTCCCAGTCCGTAAGACAGCAGAAGTTAGCCAGTGAGTCGTATCCGGGGATTGCGTGGATGATCTTCATGACCCTTTCGGCTTCTGCGGTCTGCAGTGTGCAGTCGAAGGATCCCCGTCTCTTGTCATTGATGGTGCTTGAGGTTCTGGAGGTCGAGGTGAACTGCGCCAATGCCTTTTCCAATCCATTGAGATATTCGGCTGGATCGACACTGGCATTGAAAATGTCCACAACTCCCTTGGCCATGTTTGCCACATCCAATACACCAAGCCAGAACTCGATGATATCTCCAGTTTTCTCAGCGGATGCACGGGAGAACCCAAAGATCTCGTTCCTCTCCTTCACCTCGGGAACGGCAACCTTTTCGAAGAAATCTTTGTATGCGACGTTTCCGCAATCCTTTGTGACTCTGTAAATCAAAGCCACTTCTTTGCAACATCATCGAAAACTCTTTCTCGATATATGCTGAATTGCTTGCCGCGTCCGTTTCGGAAGATTTCCAAAGCTTGTCTCTTCGAAATC